GTTCGATTCCTGTCGGGGACTCAGAATTTTTCTGTCCCACGCTCGTGTCATGTTGATTAATTCACCTTCACATTTCATTACCGAGCTTAAAATTCACCTTCATTATTAACTTATCACAACATGTACCAAAGTTGTCCTGTATAGATTGATAACAGAAATGTTAATTAAAAATATAATATGCTTCCTGGGTCTGTTTACGTTGCACTGCTTCGACACTTGCAGTGATCTAATTACATCGACCTTACTTAGTAACTTGAAGTAAGTAGTTTTATTTGCGTGTCAAATAATGTATCTAGCACGATAGGTGCTAACTGGACACACGTTATACTTCGAAGCCTAGCTAGTACCACGTAAAAATGATTAAAATCTACTTCCTGGCAGCAGTTCACAACAGTACCTCGCCCCACTCCTCACAGCTATTCCGTCAGGTAGTGCCGTTCATATCTTTAAGAGGAGAGAGGCACTGTGCACGTCTTGCCAAAATAACACGTCTTGAAAAACCAGCCATGTTCGAACCCGAATTTCGAACCGATACTTAAGTGTTAGTAATTACACCAGCATGCCTTATTGATGAATAAAATTATGCTATTCACCTGAACACTGACTGCAAGTTCTTTTACAATGAACGTTCATCCAGATAGGGTTCTTGGAACACTCGCCGCCTTTGCCCCAGTCCTCACACGCCACGGGGTACACATCCTGACAATCTAAAAAGTACGAAATGTTTGTTTTATTAAAATACAAATTTGCCATTAGCAACTAAACTGTGTCTTTATGTAGTTCTACCTCGGTTGTTGAAACATATTTCCACGAACGCCGCCTGAAGTCATGGGGGAATATATTTTCATTTACGGGTTAAATTATTGATTTTAATTTAAAATCTGGGAGGCGTTGAGATTTAAGTCAGAGTTTGATCTATGTTTAACGGAGTTTTTTTGAAGTTAAAAATAATTTTTAAATGCAATGTTTCGGACAATGTGACAAGGCCTTCTCCGAATGAAAAGAAATGAAATATATGGAGTTTAATTATCAACATTCAAATGTTTTTTTCTCTTTTAGTTGGATTTCATGTATTTCGTAAGTTTTATGAGAGTCGCTTTTAAGTTATCAAAGGCAAACTATATCACGGTGCTCGTAAGTTTTAAACATTAATCTATATGATGTTAAAGATTTAAAGAAACAAAATCGTAGTGATACGTAAATCGACAGCGCTCACCTGAAGGTGGTTCTGCAGAAAAAAAAAATCAAAAAAGAAAGACAGTTAGTCAAAAGAATGAAAGTAAACTTTAATGCAGAAGCTTTGAAATCACCATTGTTGCGGTCTAGAACTGTCACATACCACCACATGTTCTACAGCTCTTTGGACAGTTGGTACTCATCCACATCAGATTGAGGCCACACTCGCCCGAGTCCCTCCATCCTTGGCAGTCGTTGTATTTATCCTTACAGACACATTCTTAAAGAAATTGACACAATAAGTCTAATTACACCTTGAGTAACAAAAGAGCGCAGAAGACGAAAGATATTTTCATGTACTGGTTTGTAACCTGACTCAAGCTCATCTAAGAGTAAATTTTTGTTATTGTCGGCGCAGAACCAGAGCGTATATTCACGACTTTCGCGATTGTTTAGCAAATTGCGAACATTAGTTGCCGCAGTAATCTCCACTCGCAAAAAATTTTGTATTTCAATCATTGAAGCGAGAATTAATTCTTTCCAAAATTAAGTACACCGAATTGTTTGTGGCTTAGAAAATGAAAATAACATTCAAATAGCAAACTGATCCTATCTATTCGTTGTTTTTTTTTTCGGAAATGTCTTAGTTTTCTCTGCATTTCATTTCTGATCAAAGAAAGCAAGTAGACGATTAACACCGTTGAACTGAGTCAGGTGCATGAAAAAACTGTCGATTCAGTTCGTTTTGCGACATGTTATTTTCCTGTATTTAGCCGTCTCATGTCACACTAGCTGTTCTATTTATAAATACTTCAGAAGATGAACAGAGAACTTACGAGATGGGTCCGGATTTCCACTTCCAGGTAACACTGAAAAATAAAATAAATAAAATCAATTTAACCATTGGAAGTTTTAATTTTCCTTGTATTGTTCAACACTAGTCTCTGCCGGACGGTGCGCAATCTACCGTCAGACGTCTAAGGTTTCCCCGGACCCAGTTCCCAACAGTTATCCCCTTGTCCCAAAAACCTTTACGACAGAGAAAATCTTACTATTGATGGAATAGCTACGACGAAAACTACATGCCCTTATCCTGACCAAACTGAGCAAACCTGAAGGTTCATCAGCATGATGCTAAATTGTTGTTTTCGCAGCTCGGAGTGAACTCCCCTAGTTAGTCTTTGCAGGCTATCCAGAACCAGCATTTTTTCCCGGTTTTACACCACTTTCCCAGTACCCTTTTATATACCTAGGTAGAAGCAGGAACACACTCCCAAAGAAAGCGAACAGAGCACGAATCCTAACTGAAATCTGAATGTGAATAGAAATTTTAATGTGGTATCTAACAATGTAGTCTTCCACCTTAGTTGATGGACGAAGCGGGAATCTGAAGTCTGCGCTGTGTTTTACCTGTGGGCGGTAGCTGATTAGTCTGACAGCTGTAAAGCTTGTTTATTTTCTGAATATCCTGGGGGCTGAATTTCCTCAGGTAAACAGGGGTGACCTCGTACGAGGGATCCTTCTTAACAAGCATAGTTGGACGACAATAGCCGTTGGTGAATGCGGTGTTCTCGTAGTGCATGATGGAGGTGAGATCATACTTGAAGCCCTGTACATCAGCCTCGTCAAAAGTGTACTTGTAGAAAGCATCCTTGAAACCTGTCAAACAAGGAAAGGCAGGTTAAGTATTGCTCATATAATAGAATTGAATAAAACTCAACGACTAAAAACCCACAGAGTTCATTGACTATGAAGAGATATTTTATGTGCACTTTTTAAGTTGCTTACTACTTTTAATGAAATGCTCTTATCGAATTCGTCATAGAAAAAATAATTTTAATAGTTTAGTTTGGACAGAGGTAATTTTCGCAAAATTTTGTAGGCTGAGGCAAATTAAAATCACCCCGAAGAATCCGATCGAGCGAACTTCGAAGCTCCCATGCTAGCAAAGTAGAACGGATGACTTCCGGATAGAAGAGTGCGAAGACGCCCAAAGATCCTCTGAATTCTTCCGAAGATTGCTGAAGATCTCCTGAAGAAGTAAATGATTTTTTAACGTCATCGGGAGGGTAAGTGAGAAATACGTCCGATGATCTCCCGAAGACTGTTGACGACTACCTGATGCAAGATAGCTGTTTGACGAAAGAGAACTGAAGCGCCATCAAGATATTTCACTCAGCTTGGCAGCCGATGGTGACGGTAATTAATCAGTCACCTGTTTAAAACAACTCATTCATACTGCTAGGAGAAAAACTTTTTTCTTACCATACTGAATGTTATCCCACATAATATTAACCACATCGTCACGGTCAGGTCTGTTGTGTTCGTGGAAGTAGCCGATTGCGTGACCGAACTCGTGGAGAACAAGCCCTACATACTGACAGCCATCTCCCATGTTAAGGATTTGTTCTCCTCCGATGGCGCCCACCATTGAGTTACAGCTAGAACGAAAAAAAAGCCGTGAAAGTGAAAAGCCAGTCTGCTTAAAATGGGACATCACGGAACCATTTCACGCCCACTCTACGACTCCCTATCCCCTCCTCTTGGAGGGAATAATCTCGTATGATTTCGGCCTTTTTGGACTGAAATACGTGTTTTCGTTTAAAAAAATGCAAGCCTATCAAATGAATACAGTAACAGGCCACATATTTTAGAGGCTGAGATCGGTATCGAAAGTAATAATTAAAGGGTTTCCTTCGACGATCGAGCTGCAAATCAATAATTAAACATTTTTAGAACTTGTGCAGTTGTCTTAAAACACTCACTCACCCCGAGGCTGGTTTCATAACCCTGATGTAATCTTTTTCGTTTGTTCTCTTTACAAACCGAAGACAGGTATATTTGTGGTATTCCTTGATTCCCTCGTCAATCTGGCTTCGTAAATAATCATCTACAAAGAAAAAACAACTGAACGATGTAAAATGCCAATTGCCATTTTGACTACAATGCTATAACAAGTGGAGGAAGAACAAATGTAAACCTACTGATAAAAAGGTAAACTGTAACGATAGAGTATTTCCACATTAAAGTAACAGAGGTGTACCTGCTATGTTCGGAAAAACCCCTACTAAGGTATTAGAATCCATCTTTTCCTTCGCTGTTCAAGGTTATTTTTACTCCCCGAGAAGAACCAATGTAACGTTTTTCCTATTTAGTTTGATGAGTGTCACGTTATACCAATAAAGAAATTAATAAATTCGAATTCATTCTTGACATCTGGTTCCAGTTTATTTGCAGCTTACTTTCATAATGTGCCCAACCGATGCTTTAGTACAACAATATTGCGAAATGGTGTCCCCGAATGGTAAAATTTTCAACCCCTAAAAGATACGATTAACATAATTTCATCGCAAAATAAGGTGCCTCCTTCCCCTCCCCGCTCCCTCCCCACCCCACCCCATTTAGCTCTCAATTTATCCCTTACCCACACTTGCATCCAGAATATAAGGCACAACTCCATTTTTCCACAGATTCACGTTCTTCATGGCATTTCTCGACTCTCCCCGGTACAGAGCGGCAGTTTTGCTGTCCAGCATAATATCTCCTTCAACAACGTCTGCGAGCAACAATGTACTAGGTCAGCAGATTCAGCAATCATTTGGTTAACCAGGATTTTAGATGAAAATGGATGTAGATTTATATAAAACTTATTTACGAATTTATTCACCTCCTGCCTGCAATGATGATCTTCCTTTGAAGTTCTTCGTGAAGGTATTGTATCCTGGAGGTCTTGGAGACTTGTGGTCTCCTGCCAGTAAAGAGATATTAACAGTTAAAACATATTTAATATGAAAGACACCCTGTAAAAAATACCAAGAGCAAGTTTTAGACCTTTAAGGACAGCTCCCACTGCCGGCAATCACGGTTGTGGTCCTGGCCACACACGAAACAGTAAAGTGATGTTACATTTTTAAGCTCACATTAGCGGAAACTTTCAGTCCTGCTCTCAAAGATATGCCCCTATTGGACATGCCGAAGTGGTTTTGTTAGTGCAAAGCCCGATAATGGCTTTTGTTCTGAACTTTTGTTGGTTGGACAGGTACCAAAGCAAAGTATAAACAGAGGATCACTTTCGAAAGTCACCCCTACAAGACTATAACTTGTTGAAAGCTGTAACTGAATTTGTCGTAGTGAAAATCTTTATCGTTCCATTTTTTTAGCCTCATTCAGTTCAAATTTGCTTGATTTGGCTTTGTGCTGATCAAGTTATCTCTATTTCATCTGCTCCTTACGTTATTTGGTGTCTTGTTATTTTTAGGTGGAAAATGACCTCTGCAAGTTAAACGAAAGTTAAACGGTTGTGTAAATCTGCAATTGTACTTGTCGAGATTGTCCGGCAGGGGCGGGCCCCTTCCATTTTCAGTGTATTCCCCCCAAGGAAAGACAATTGAATAAGAAATACCAAATCACTATATACTTGCCGTGGGCACACAAAGCCATGAGGACAACGACGAAAAACGTCTTCATCTTGACTCGGAAAATGAACGTTTCTTGTTAACGTCTATGTGGCTCGAGGCGTCTTTTAGAGTAGGTGCAAAATGTTGGAGGTCGTTCTCTTTCTATGAGGCGGTATTGCGATATTGATCAAAGCCATCTGCACGGTTGTACTAACAGAAAGAAAAACAAAGAATATCTCAAATTTTTGTCAAAGCACCATTTCTTTGTAAAGTTATACAACTATGACACGCTGAAAGCAGCTGTTCATATTTTTGGTGAAAAATCGTTTGCAATGTCTTGACAAAGCCATGAAAGGCTTTGTACATTACACAATGAGTCGCAAATCAAACTGTATTGCTGTTTACAATTACGTTTTAAAAGAAAAGTTCTTCGAATTACGTGTAGATTAAGAAGAAAACGTCTCGATTTTACTTAGTGAAAGAAAATTGGATTAAATTAGCACCCAAATTAACAGCTTGGTGAAAATTAAAATATTTTGTGAGAAGTCCACTTTATAAGGTATTTACCGGCTTGTACGTGGTTAAGATATTATTGGGAATATAGTCACCTGAAACGTTATATGCTAAATACTAGCATTTTCATAATTCAAGCAATTCAACAGTCATGACTTTAAAGACCAATTGGTTTACCTTGCAGGCGCTAACTCCATTACACATAGCATAATGAGTCGAGAAGTAAAGCTGCTTTCAATGAACTAGATAATAATGCCGAACCATTGAAGGTCGGGGTGATGATAGCTACTTGAGCCTCTTAAAAACATTAGATTTTTAATTTTTTCCTAATTAACCCGAATTTGATTTTAAGGCTCCAATATACTCATCATATTCAGCCGTTTTCAAATTCAATGAAGCACCAACTTTATTCAAAAGATTGTTTATTTATTTTCATTTTTACTACGAGTGGCGTATTACGCGCCAGGTAGTCTCCTTTTTGCAGTGGTCCCATCAGCTGATCTGCCTAGTCGTGGACTAAATTGATCCCACTCGTCTCTGTTAGCAGGTCTTCGCCTAATCAAAGCTCCTGCTAAGCTCTTGTCTAACTCTCTTTCTATTAAATAAAACGATTTTCTCTCAAGACAAACGTATATTCCAAGCACTGTAAAATTCTTCTAGGGTTACAGTTTTCGTAAGATCAGCTGCGCACTAGGGGTTTACTACGCAAACTTACAGTGTTTGTTATGTGTATCCAGTGATCGCTGAAAACAATATCTGTACTCAATATTTACACACAATAAATGATCTAGTTTTATCTGAATTTATTTTTACTCGAATTTCATTTGGTTAATAAAGACTAAAGCTACCTCTCGACTGTACAACTGCGCCCCTAATAAACATCATAAAATCAAGATCTATCAGCTTATAAAGCAGAATAACCCTCTATACAGTAGCCCTTGTTCTGTATATTTTATTTTTGCAGTATTCTCGAAGACTTTATTTGAAAACTATAGGGATTGCTTTTATGTATCGGTTATGTTTAGTTAGTTAGCATACTTTATTGTTGTAAACGCATAACATTTTTCACTCCAAATCCTAATTCCTGCCGCGACCGAATCTCTTCCTTCCTAATTGAAGCAAGAACTATATCTCTGACGGCCCTCTCCGTCCTCTCCAACCTCTCCAACCCCCCTACGAGCAAGAAAGAGCCGCTCTTCAAGCAAGGGCCTTTCCTCGACAGAAGCCCATCACTGGACGTTTGGCCTCAATTATTTTACTAATATTCCTACATCAACCACGCTGTTTTTCCTTGATTGACCTTTGATTTAAAATCACGCCTGTATGAAACTGGGCACACAGGGTACAAAATTTACTGTTTCCAAAACATTTACAGTCTGTTGCCTACTTCATCAGCCCCTTGCATAACTCTGTGACGTGACATGGTCTTTAATAACCCTGTCTTGTGACATGTTCAATAAAACTCGGTCATGTATAACCGATGTCAATAATTAAAAGACTCAAAAAAGTGGCGCGGAATTAAATCGATTTCAAAAAAAAAAAGAGAGAGCGAGATAATTATAAGTACATATATGGTTTATCGCTTGCTAATTTTGAGTGCATTGATGTCTAAACTCATTTTTTATGCTGGTTTCAAGTTTCTAAAAATTAAACCTCCAACTTACAATCTTAGGCCACGTCCAAACTACGCCGGAGGGATTTGAAAACGGAGCTGTATTTCTCCGGTTAATTAGGCCTACCGTCCACAAAAATCCGAAGAAATTGTCCACTGAAAAGGAAACCTTTTGGAAAATGTTCTTGAAACCCGAGGAATTTGAAAAGTGAACTTTGTGTTTTAGTGTGAACAGAAAAATTTTGTAAACGGAGCTTTTGTAAACGATTATGTCACGATGTTTTCGATCGATTTTGAGGCTTTTAACTCTATTGCTACGTTTGGAAATAATCCCACCTCGTCGTCCGACCACGAAAAGTACGTATACTTATTTTTGTTGTTTGCCTCAGAATTGTTCTTCGTTCGGCCTGAATTTGACATTTTTCATTGAAGTCCGTTCAAACAGATTTAAAAGATGGCGGGAACAACAATCATTTCACTAGAACCTTATTACGCGCATGCTCGCGGGTGCATTCAAGTGTTTCTGCCGCTTGTGATTGTCGCGTTGACGGAAAACATTTGATCCGTTTCAGTTTAGAGTGAAACCTCCGTTTTCGAATTCCTCCGGTGTAGTATCGAAAAGGCCTTACTTATTCAACACCCTCTTTTCATTCTGATAAACATTTTGATCTACGACAACGTGACAACGTTATGCAAACCTAAGGGTCTCTTCCCTGAAAAATATATATTTGGTAGCAAACCGTTAGTATAGCAAAGGTGCGAGGAATAGGAAATTCTCATTTTTGGGGGAGAAGTTTTATCTGCAATATTTTTTTTTTCCGTAGGGAATCATGTATAATTATTTTTTTCTCTTTATGGAGAATAAGTCTTATCTCCCATATATTCGATGCAGGAATTTATCATGCTCAGGGTTGCCCGCTGTGTCTGAATTTTTCTCTACACCTATCCATGATTGACATATGAAAAGCTAAAACTGGGTTACAGTTATTGAATTTGGTCGGTAAAATATTGCGTCGGGTTACTTTACAGACGTTGAATTCAATGCAATAATTGATTAAAAGATGATTCTATGAGATCATTGGCTAAATTTATTTCAATTTTAATTGTCATTTCAAAATTGTTTGCGAAAAAGTGTAAGAGAGGCTGCAGCTGTGTAAAGGAGAAACAAATCATGAAATATCACCGAGCTTAAAAAATGCCTCACTTAACTTTGCGATTAACAGACGTAACCTCACCACTGTAAATAGAAATTACCGTTAACAATAGTTATTCCTGTTTTCAAAGGAGAAATTCTGAAGGCACAAATTTGAGGAATACGGAAGGATACGTCGTATAAGCGCAAGCATATCTATTGGACCACATACCTCAAAGTGATTTCATACTTTTCGCACGCTCAAGTATGACATTGAAGACCATGTTTAACGTGTTGATTTACTCCGCTCTTGTAATAGTCGCCTTCCTTGGCAATATCTTGGTGCTTTTCGCCGTGAAAAAGAACCGGCATGTGCACACGACAACAAACTTTCTACTGGCTAATCTGGCTGTTGCTGGTCTATGGACGGCAATATGGAGTGTGCCTTACGTTGTGCTTAGTTCTTTAACTCATCCACAAGGCAAAGTTGGTGATTTCTCGCGCAAGTTTTTGTCCATGAATAACATGAGTGGATTGTCGATTCTTGTATCGGTTTGTACGATGACGGTGCAGTGCTAGCGGTTGAGAGATACCACGCCTTGTTAAACCCGATGAACGCGCAGCTGAGGTTAAAGAAAGGCTCTGTTTGGTTTGCAGTGGCCGGGTTTTGGCCCTTTGCTGAACATGCCAACTGTCCTTTACGCTGTGTATGACGAGAAGACAGAGCAATGTGTGTATACTTGGAATGAGACCTCGCATGCTGTCGTTATCGTTTTGTTTGCTTCGTTTTCCGCGTGTACCATCACGTTTTGCTACTGTAGGATTATCAAGGAGCTTTATTTTAGCAAAACGATTTGCAACGAAGATGTCGGGCAAGATTTTGAATCCAAGCGCAGGATTGTAAAGCTGCTGCTTATTCAAGTTGTTGGGTTTTTTGTGTGTTATATTCCATTCGTCGTGGTCAAGTTTATAATTCGTCGACAGCTACCTAAAGCACACTACCTCTGTATTTATTTACTGTACTGTAGCTCGGCTATTAACCCAATTATCTATGCGCTTCGCAGTTCCAATTATCGGAAAGCTTACAAAGAGATTGTACGGGAGGTTAAATTGTGGATATGTTGTTGTTTCCGGAAAAGAAACCAATGGCCAGAGGGCTCTCCTAAGAGTGAGCGCGAATTATTCGGAATTGCGACCTTTTCTTTTAGGCCATAATAGCGTTTTTATTTTGTATTCATAACTCCTCCGACCACAAAATGTAATAAGAAGGTAGTGGAATCATTGCCTAAATTAGAAGCCTGACAACTTGTGTTGTTTATTCAGCTGAAGGGATCAAGGCAAACAGGATCAAATTGTTTGTTGTCGTTTCCTACGAAATTTTCACGAAAAAGGAATCAGGTACTTGCAAGTAGTTCTTCAATCACTGAGACAGCTATTCAATTTACAGTAATAGCTGCGATAGCGGCCTTATGCGTAACAGAGCGCGAAGAAGATAGGTGAGGTGAGGTGAATAGCTGCGATAAATGAGATGGCAAAACTTTGATAAGCTCTCAAACGCTCAAAATGAAGCAAATCTGATGCAACAGACTTTTGAAATGTTAATCTTAATAGCTATAAGTAACACTGTTGACTCAGTATTATGTCTTAGTTTATTAAAAAAAACCTGATGCTTAGCAATTCAGAGATTCATGCATAAAGTACAAATGTGTTTCAAAATTGGAATTGTTAACCGGTATTTCCATTTACTAAGATATATAACAGCGTCGTTTCCTCTAGATTGGAATGACCGATGTTATACAATTAGTTTTAATAACAGTTTTCGTACATTACTTAAGACCCTTCATCTTTAGCAGTCTTTGCTCTACAGTTTGGTGATATTGAACAACAAGTACAGTGCCTTGCATCGGACCGACGAGAAAAAAAATTGATTAAGTAACGAGAAATTTTTCCACTCTTCTCTGAAAAAACGTTATAACACTGATTCATTAAGACAGCGAGTAGGTTAAATTTTAATGTGTGGCATACAATTACGCCATCTTTGATTTAGGGCAAGGTTGTTACAAGGAAAGCGTATAAATGTCATTCCAGAGCTGTTAATTATGAAGGCGTTAGGGGCGGCATTGAAACAGGGAAGGTGTCCATGTGTCCCCACGTCTGTCCAGTACTGATAGACACAGGAAGTGGTACCTATGAATAAGAAATGCAAGTGTTCAATTGGTGGCTGTTTTAAAATGGATTACGTACTGGCTTGAGATGTTGTTTGGTTTTCACAAATTTCTAATCTTATGTATGATACAAGTACAAATTCTAAGTAGAGGCCAAACATTTTTAAAATTAAAATTACTTGCCCAATTACGCCAAAGCATGCCGCATGCACTTCATTCTCTTCTATGGTCTGTTATATGTCAGTAAAAATCCTTGTTTTCGCTGAATACATGCAGTATAAGTCCCAGTTTACGACTTCCACCAATAGTAATACTTTTATTACCTTCAGCTTGACCTTGCCACCACAAAGTTTCTCCGTAGATTCCATTATTGACTTGACGCTTGCTGCAATCATAAATAGATATTTTACATTATTCTCCGCGCAATGTTTCGTAGAAAACATAAGAAAACTGACAGAGATATGCTACCTGTCACTTTGTTAATTTCATCTTCAGGGACCTCCAATAGAAGCTCATCGTGTATTTGTAACAGCAGTCTATAAAGAAAATAATTACGGAACACACCAGCTTTTATACAAGTCAGCGTTACTTTATCTCACTATTTTGGTGTTAAAAGTTTTTAGTCGCTTACTTACACTTAAAAACGCTAAGTAATAGAAAACGCTGACTATGGACTGTTTAAAAAAAAATGAGAAAGGGAGGCAAGAGTGGAAGGAAGACTCGATTTAAAAAATCGCCTGTCTTGATGAGGGTGTGAAAAGAAAGGGGCAGCACAAATTAAGGATGGCCATGAAGCCTGAAAGTCAGCTTGAAGTCTATTTAAATATTGCATTGCAACTTATTATGAAACACTTCATCAAAACAGTTCTTTACCTTGCGTGCAGAGAGGTATCCTCGCTTATGGCACTTATGACCTGAATCATCGCTGCTTTACAAATATCGGCGGCAGAACCTTAAATTCAAACAAAATGTTACAAATCAACGAGCCTGATCAGTTTTTAAAAAACCTTTAAAAGAAAAGGCCTTGGAACCGGGTTTAAAAGCGTTTTGGAACGTACCAGTGAGGTAATTCAACCAGTGAGATATCAACTAAGATGGAATGCCAGAGACTTTCGACTAGATGGAAATGTTCAAATTTCAGGAAGGTGCATGGATCCGAAGCCAGGGGGAAATGTTAAATTCAGACATTTATTCAGCATTCAGGGAAAATGTTGAGACCACTTTTAAGAACTTTGACAGACATGGGAGTTATGTTCAACAGAGGTGATTAAATCTACACACGCACAAACCCTGCACGATAAAATTGACAGCCTGTCGTTCAGCCTGCGATCTTTGGGTGAAATCATAAGACTTGATATGTGGCAGCCATCGCCTTCTGTTCAAAATGGTGGACACGTAGCCTGTGTACAGAAAACAAACGTATGGTGAGGCCACAGAAAACGTAGAGTTGAGCAAGGCTCTTCTGTCAACTCAGTAAACGATATCCTATCTATAAGCCCTTCTATGTCGCTCTAAAGGCAAAGTTTTTGTCCTTTGTGGGACCAGCTTTTCTCTCGGAGGTCTAATCTCTTACAATTTAGCTGATTCAACCTGGACATGGCCAAAGCAATTCTGAACTTAGTACATAAACTACTCCGTTACAAACCGTTTCTTTGACAACTCTCAATACAGCGTCGGGTGAATTCCTTTATTCTTGGAAATCTCCCTGAAATTATTCAACGTATACGCATAAAAAGACGTAAGTACAGTATAGATAATGAATTTTTCAGTACAATTAAAATTAACGATCTCTGTTATAGGAGCAGAAACCTAGTGCCAGACAGGGATTGTAAACACACCTAAAAAGCTCTCAATGAATCCTTTTGCTTCATCAGCACTCACTTTGAGGGTATGCCCAAGTTTTTCGCTTCCTGTACAACAAATATTGACGAATTGTTAACCAAAACAAACATATAATATTTATACGCGTTGACTATTCTTCCAAGTGCTTCTCAGAGAGGACTTATAGGAGTAAACAAAAAACAGTATATATGTAAAGGGTTCTCCTTACCAACACCGTAGATAACAGAATACACAATTCGTTTGGTCCTTTCTCTCTCATGAAACTGAACTTCCTCACAGCTTTTGTCCAACCTAGACATACGGTTTTGGTACATCAGAAAAAGTTCTAAGGCATAAGGAGGAACTTTCTTTTAGTTTAAACTTAGAATTATCTCATTCAATGCACGATGATCGATCCTTTTTCTGGTACCGGGAATGCAAATAGTAAATAAAGTAAAAACGAGAACATTTTTGAAAGAGCAATCAAATTATTACATTACCACTGTGAGGCAAGTGTTGTAAATACGTCTGCACATTGTTTGTCGTTGAAGATCTGTATCAGCGACGGGTCTCCGGACAGGTGGGACAGTAAGCGAAGTTCAATGGACTGAAAATCTAGAAAGAGACCACAGCCGGTCAATTACTGAGAAGATATTTTACTGTGGTCACAAGCAGGCGTGCGTAACTAAAGTAACATAATCATTCAATACCAAATACCTGCCGCAAGTAATAACCAGCCTTCTCTACTTGTGTAAGCATCCCGTGCATAAATGGTTACCACTTCTTCCGGTTTGCCTAAAGATGATGAAAGAAGGGTTTCAGAATAACCAGTGTCTAGAAGATGGAGACTTTCCTTCGGTGACAACTCGCATTACTTTGTTCATTCATCTATTACATTTCCTTGTAGCTCCGTCCTTTAGCAACAGTGAGCCTTCTGAGGAATAAGTATCATTTCATTTAGAATGTTGTAACCTGTACATCCACCCATTTCCCATGGCAACAAGACACAGACTAGTGATAAATTGAGTTAAAATTAATACACAAGCATTTTAAGAGCCTTGGCTAATTCAGATTGCACGAAGAGAATTAGGAAACTCTCTGAGCATGTTTATCAAAGACTCGTCTTCAATTCGGTTTTCCTCGACCACGGAAGGTTTTTTAATAGATACAGCCTTTTCGTACATAAATATCTTCCTAGTTTGTTCCAAATCGTCGAAGAGCATTCCTTTTGATACTGAAGCCGAATCGGAAAACAATGTTCTATCGTACCTACGATGAACTGTTTCTTGATTCCAGATACCTCTATAACTTGTTTTGGGATGGCCTGAAGGTTCTACAAGACAACCGAAGATACACATAATAATTAACCCCTGTAATGTAGACACCACGGTGACCACCATACTATAGAAGTACTGGGTAGTTTTGCGGTATTGGCTTTTAGTGAAAGACCACTTTGCTTTCTACTTCAATTTAATTACCTGAAAATGCTGGTAAGTGGTAGAAATAACGTATGACATTGCTGGATCGAGATTGGGAAAGGTTTACTTACAAAAAGAAGTTGAAGTAAGATCGATATACAGCAGCAAGCCACACAGCACTTACTGGATTTGCTGACGTTAGTCTTCCAGTGGCCGCTGCTGTTTGGTCCCTGCAAATAAGACGAATGACTTAGCTGGTTATCGCGTAAATATGCATTAACTAACAAACCAAAAAAACAAACACTTTCTGATCAGTCCATATTCCCCGATTATGAGCCTTACGGCATGTATATTCATTACATTTAGATTTTTCAGACTCTTTTTCTGGCATTTACATGTGCACACCCCTTCGTCAGGTCTCTGGTCAGTTGGCGTCAATTGAGGCAATTGAAATGTTCAAATGATCAGAAATTTAAATCCGTAAAAAGCCGTACTAATCAGTGAGTACTAATTTGTATCTCTCAACGAACTCACCAGCTTGTTAAAAGAATTCCCTGCAGGAAAAAGGAGATAACAGCAATCAAAAAATATGATTACATAACCTGAAGAGCCGGTATTGTTGCATTTGCCGGATTTATGTTTCGGGAAAGAAAGTGGCATTTACCTCATGGACATGTGAGAGTATTCCATCAAAGTACGTCGACTTTAGTTTTACCAACTGTCGACAAAAATAAAAAACAGACATGAACGAGGACGTTTACATGGCCACTTACAGGTGAACAGATGTAGGGTTTGTTCCAGTGAATATCAGCACTTGCTCTCAAGTTTACTTACATTGCGTTTCGTGATATTGCCGCATAGTCGCTTAGCTCGGTCAAACTTGAGCAATTACTCACTACAGAGTACAGTGTATGCCTGTGAGTAGTCCAGACTCTGAGCTGTCCCCACCCCGCCCTGTGAAGATATTCATTTAACTTCAACGAAACATACATGTCTGTACTGCAGAACAAGCTTTGGTAATGGATGAAACTCTTGCAGGTGAAGCAGCTGTAAAGATAAGCAAACAAAAAAAAAACAACAACAAATGTGCATCGACATTGATTTTTCGGTAAACACTGATGAGGTGCAAGAAGAGAAAATGTGTAATCTAAACTTGGATAGCCAAAGACGATCCGCCTATACGCAAAGAAGAAGGCGATGTATTTCAGATAAGGGGAATGCAATAAGGAAAAACCGAAAGGAAGGCCGTAATTTAAGCAACTAGTAATTTATATAATTTATATGTACTAAATTCAGTGTGCCATATACTTACCACAGCTTCTGAGGTGGATTTATAATTCTTGATTGTGGTTCTTGCAAGCTTCTTCTTACATTTTTGGTCTAGTCTCAGCTCTTCAAACAGCACCTTTAAAAGAGGCAGAAGAATCAGTAAAAGGAAATTAAGCTGAATAGCTTTCGTCGCTTCTATACTCAGATTCAAAAGAAATCCTAGAAAATCCAAAGACAACTGTTTACCTTACAAAATAGTAGACATCAGCGTCATAAAGCTGGATTCCATCCAATAACGTACAGCGAGTAATTACATCTCTAATTAGAATGGACCTTTATTCGCTATAAGTTAACTCACCTCTCTCAGCTGCTGAGGACTGTTGATAAGAAAAGGATGCCCTGCAGCCTGCAAATTAAGAAAATCAAGTGCACTCATTTTATTGTTGCTATGAACAAACGTTTTGCGACGCAGGGGGCTCGAAATGACCGCCTTGGTCATTGATGTATTCATAAAACCAATTCGGATGAGAGTTTTACTAGGATATGAACACTTGGTATCAGCTGTACGCCAAACCGTATGGTTACTTCAGTCTACCTTACCTTGTGGGCTTCTGCTTCGACCTTTACAATTTTCATCTGAAATGAAATGTGATTCAATTAGCTGATATTAATTTTATACAGGCTGGCTTTGGAGTATAGAAATTTTCACCATAGTTTTAATGTAGAGATTATGAACCAAAGAGACCATTTCGTTCGCATTCCGTGCAGACAAGACTGTTGTTAAAAAAACGGCTTTGGTTTTAAAAAAACAACATGGTTGTAAGCATAAAGCTATGAATTTACCTTAAGGGTATTGCTGGCTTCAATCAAGACTTGAGAGTTGATTCCGATTCCTTGAGTTTCCATTACTTGGTAAAGCAAAAAGTAAGGTTATATTTCTCGTTTTACAAGATATACAATAGCAGGAAAAATCATATTAGCTAAGTTTTGGTTTCAAAAGATCGTCGCCAATAAAGAAAGCGTTTATTGCCAATTGATCGGAATGTCACGGAATGAATCATCGTGAAATCAAATTAGCTTTCGCATTACCTGCTAAAATTGAACAGAGCGGTGTCTCGATGCTGATGAACAAGTCCCAGAGTGATAGCATCTGGAAGAAAAAAGTTACCGTGTTGTTTAGCAGTTACATGCAACTCAGATGTTGTATTATATTTGTGCTGTACCTGCCAGTTGAAAAAGACAGAGTTTGACAGCTGGAGTTGAGTTCTTCCCCCGCCCCCCTCCCGACATAGTTCCTAATTTTTCCAAAAATGAGGACAGTGGAAAGTGAAAATTTCAGACTTGCGTACTTACCTTAAGCTTCCCATATTGTTTCACCATGAGAGGCCCAAGCATCGCAACATCTTGGCAAATCATTGAATCATCCTCTGCCCCACTCTGTGAAGTAAACAACATAGTCATCTCAGACGCACAGTCAAGAGATTTCAAATCATCTTTAATACTCTCTTGGGACCATATAAATGTAGCTAGTGTACCTCTGGAAGTCTGAGCTGGACGGATGCAAGAACGTCTGCAAAGGTTCCTGGCGGGTTGTCCGGGTTTAATAGCCAAGCAGCTATTCTAGGATCAAGAAGACGCCACCTGAGACAAACTGCGGAGTAAAGAAAGAAAGTTATCAACGCAGGTATGGTTTTAAAGAGAGCGAGGCGTAACGTTTCAAGAAAAACAACTTGAAACAACGTGCATCTTATTTATGTCTATTGATTTTGTTGTCAATTAAACGCTACTTTGGACTGTTTATCTCAGCCAATACGATGAACGCCACAATGCTTTTTTTTTAAATTGGCAGGTCAGCTTTTCAGTTGATTGTTACTCTTGAATGTCTTAAGACGGACGTAATGTATGTCTGCAGCAAGCACACGTTACCCTTTTTGACGTCATAATGTGTTGTCTCCACAAGATACCGAACTATTTTCTGGGAATCGAAGCAGATTTTCCTGGTCGATGATGACGTCATTAGATCATCCACTACTCTCCTATTCAAATATGATATACAATCATGATTAACTTCACAGTGAAACAAAGTACCACGAAAATAACGAAATGTTGAGTTTCTTATTAGTCGTATTGAGGTGCAACAGGAAGGGAGCAGTTGGAAGACTGGAAAGGAGCGCATATTGAAAGATAACAATGCAATATTTCGCATTACAGTCCTCAGTTGTCCCCGCCCACAACTTGACTAAAACTGCGATGCCATGCATGATTTCGGGTTGAATACCTTGACTGTGCACATAAAGAAACACAAGTAACTTGGTTGTTAACTCACAGTCTGTACTGAAAAACTGCAACATACTGACTTTGAGGCAGTGAACATTGCGCTGCGTAGTTTATAAGCCATAAACTAACTAGATTTCAAACTAGGATATCTAATATAAACTTTTTAGGTGCAAGTGGTACTTTATAGCTGGGGCACCTTTTTACGTCAACAAAAAAGAACAATTTATTATATTTCTTATTAATGTTTTCCTACTACATTTTAAGTTTGCACTATATAAAAGGCATTATTCTCCATCATACCTGCACCAGTTTGTTAAAGAATCCTCCGCTGTGTCTATAGGAATTTCCACGAACGTTAGTCGGCCTTGTGAGGAATCAATGGTACTTGAAGTCGTTTCAGACCAAGGTAGTGCAACAACCATGGTAGGAGCCTGTAAGCTCAAATACACAGCTAAATCAAGGTTCTTTTATGTATAGTCTGTTTAAGCAGTGCCTCGAACCTCTTGTTTAGGAAAATGAGCAGAGAAAGCAGTGAAAATGAGTCAATGCCTTATTGGTACCTTTTTGCCAGAGGCTTCTTGGACTTGTTTCTTCGTTTTCTATAATTAGAGTAAACAACTCAACAAGCACTGTATATATAGCAGTTACTGAAATTATCAATAGTCTTGACCTGTTTGGGTTTCGTATTCATCAGCAGCACTAAGAAATAAGCCTGTGCTCGAAACCCTAAAAGCCACTTCTCTAGAGTGAGAGACACAAGAAATCGAGCAAGGTAAAAACTTGCATGTACTGACATCACTTGATGGCCCAGAAAGTATAGGATATAGCTTGATACCTATGTAAATTCTTTAAATAAGATCTCAACACAGTATTGTGTTCTGCATACCAGTATGCCTCTATGGTTACACCACGATATGACATACTTGTTGTTTGTTCGGTCTTAAGAGCGACCACCCGTCTTCATAAACCAGAGTGCACGCGACCTCTTCTGCTGATTTGAGGTTCTGTTCAAACACCTCTCTTTGACCTAGACTCATCGTCGAGACTTTAATAGGCTGATTTTCCCACGTTTTACTCCCTCGCTTTTGATTCTTGATGACGTTCTCTTTCGGTGTAGTTTCTGCGGAAACGATAAACTGTCGATGAATTCTCTCTTAATAAATGAAACCAGGCATTGCGACTCATTGAGTTTAGCATGGAATACGCAGTGAACGAAAGCAGTGCGTAGCCATCAATATAACTGAGTGAGTGAAAGAATTTACAGATTTTAAAAGTAGGATCTTGAAGGTCTGAAAATGCTCGACTTAAATTTGTCGTTAAGAACTTTAGCCGCACTATCAGCATAAGCAAAAGCATGATACTTTTAGTGTTAAAAGCGCCTTTGGAAACTCAGGTTTGCTATTTTGTGACGCTACTGGAAAAATTCCTTCGCAGTGTAAGTAATCGAATACGGTCTTAAAGGACTGGTGGATAATATAAGTTTATTTACCTGTGTCCGCTGTTTGTGCTCTCTTAGCATCGTTCCCTTGAACAGTTTTCCTTTCTTTGAAGTAACTGGTGATTGGACTCTGCTGTGCTTTCCTTTTGTTTGCGTTTTCAGTGTTTCTCCCTGACTGATCGTTATTCTTCTCCTCTCTTGATGACGTGTGGTCTTTAATATCAAAAAGAAAGAGCTCAAAGGTCATTTTCCAAAGCGTGCAGCTGCTGTTCCTTGCAGTTACACGGAAACCTTTTAATAAGGCGATATAGAAGGAAGTATTGAAGGCTAGAAGACTTCAAGACTAAGAGAACTTCTCATTCATTAGCTGGAAGTATCTAAAACAAGTTACTTGTAATGTTAGTTCACATAAGAACTTGACTGATACAAAGCAATATCCCCCAACTAGTTGAGGCAGACGAATTTTTTTTAATTGCCATAACCCATCATGATATTGATATTATGAGGAGAAATTGGATATGTCGGTCAATCCTGGAAATAAACGATCGCGAGTTAGGAAGAACAGCCACTGATTAGTTTCCAGCACAATCTCAGGGTCTAGCTACAAATAAAAACTTTCAAGATTACGTGAATTTCGTATTAATTTAGTGCAAAGAAGACCTTAACGTTTTTGAAGTAATGCATGTATAAATTTAACTTGAGGGCAGTTGCAAAAATTCTCAACGACTCGTTCTTTCTCAATCCTAAAACTTACAGATGGCAGAGAAATGCCTGTGCATGGGACATACGCGTCAATTTATTTTTGAAATAAAGAGTGAATATTTCCAGCTGAAATTAATGACGCATTCACGCGGAGCATTATTAATTCAGTTACCTGTTTTGGCAAAGTATGGTGATTCCTCTTCCTTAAACTGGGGTGAAGACAAATTTCTAACAAAGCAAAGAATATGTTATCAGAGACTAGCTCTATTTGTGGAAACCTTTTCCTAATCTTTTCCCGCTGAAGAAATAAAGCGACAACTTCGACTTGTAGTGTGCGAGAATTGATAACTTTGCAAAGGATAGAGTTGACTTCTGATGAGATCGTGTTTTGAATGTACGGATGCTTTTCTGAAGTAAGGGTGAGTTGTGCCCAAATAAAAATGTGTATAAATATTTCCCAAAGTGTTCAATGCATGCATACCTTAATGCTATCGCATTTGCTTGCAGCCTTTGCTGTATACCACAAGGCGATACCGTGCTTAGCTCCTGTAAATCAATTCTTTCTTCAAGTGTGGGATCTCCAGTAAAACACAGATGCTTGCATGGTTCAGCCTTTGGTTCACTAAGGTAATATTCTGAAGCTAGAAATATGTCAATGACGAAGGAAAATAATTATTCCTAAGGAAAAAATGCGGCCGCGCTAGTTTATACTATAGTTGTGAATTAATGGAAAACTGATCAAAACGCAAGTGGAATTTTCAGCACCAGGAACCTCAAACTACACTATCTTATTATTTATTATAATATAGATAGGACCCTGCGCGCGCTCTGATTGGTTCAAATCCCATGTTTTCTTTAAGAAATAGAAAACATGTACCGTGTTTCTATCGACTTTCAGTATAAATCTACTAACGTTCTTTCACGAATGCCGTTCTCTGATTGGCTACGCTACTCACTATCTATTCTGTGATAGATAGTGAGTAGCGTAGACGTGAGCCCTTGTTAACAAAATGACGGCCGTTTCTTGCCGTTTTGAAGTGCATTTGTCTGTGAAGAGGATTTAAATAAATTTTTGAACGACTAGTAGATTTATACTGAAACAATTAGATTATTCCCTCTCGATTTCTATGCGTGATAGAAATCTCGAGCTCATAATCTAATTGTTTAATAGAAACACGATTTTTAACCAATCAGCGCGCGTATTTTCTTTGGACTGTTTTCTAATAGAGTATAAAAAGTAGAAAAAGCGTGTTTTATTGTTTTCCGCCACATTACCTCTATATCATATAGCAAATAAAGAAGCCTAAGCCGTGCATTATACTGTGACAAAACACTCCGGAGATTTGAGAACACTCGAGAAATGTAGAAAACACCATTCCACAAGTGTTGATTGCGGTCTTTTGTTCGCTAAAAACAGACCCATATAACGGCGATGCGTGTTTCCACCCAACGCATTCAATTTGATCCTCAGTTTGCGGGTTAAACATCTCATTACCTCAAGTACCAAATTTTGCAATGTCATCCTTTAATCATGATAGCAATCACCCGTAAAAGCAATCTGTTGTGTCATGATCATGTTATTTGCATGTGCGTATGGTGTCAATAAGGGTGGGCGGAACTTATTATACAACTAAGACACCGGTCATTAAGTCCGTCCTTCGGCTTTGTTTATGTCGTAAATAAGTCGTCTGTAAGGCATCTGTCAAGAGGTGATTCCTCAAAGTCGGTGTACCAGCTCTCCAGAATCAGTCGTTAAAATGGTTATTACTGCTTTGAGCAGAGTGTCATTCACAACACTACAATTTATTTAGGACAAACTTAAAACTTGAGAAGATAATGAGTTAATTTTAAAACTGAAAAGTTTGCTTGTCTTTGTTTGTTTGTTTGATTTTTTGTTCGTTCGTTTGTTCAAAAAGCAACATTAGCTTGACAAAAGACTGAAATACAAGTGGGTATCATCATAAAATATGACGGGCATTTGAGAACACGAGGGAGATGTATAGAAAACACGAGCCGCAGGCAGAACAGCCCATAAGTATTTCGCTTTAGCAAGCAAGGGACTGACGCTGGAAGGCTTCCTAACTTTTATGGATTGCTGTTTAAGAACAAGAGATAGGAATGTAGCGGATTATCTCGGAGTCATTGATTGAATGTCAATAAGAAGATGATGTACTTTGCCGAACTCCACGTGTCGCAATGGTTATCGTGTAGGATTCTGAATACACCAGCACTTAATATTTGAATGTAATATCTTACAGAAGGTGAGCTAAACATGACTTTTATGCCATATAGTTTAAGTCCAAACACCAAGGAAATCAAATGCAAGAAGACATATTCACGTTCCTTTTGATTATCTGGTCACAGACACTTGCCTATTGTTTTCGTTTTTAGCTGGTTGGTGTTGTGATTATCACGATTATGAGAGCGTTAGTATTCAGCGCTAAAGAAAGGCTCGAAAATAAATTTTATACCAGAATATACACTGACATTTCTTCTTTCGAAATGTTAGAATTTTAGGTGTTTTGGTGTTTCACCGGGTAGTGAATTTGCCGATTGAAAAAGTGTGCAAAATTAAGAATTTTGAGGAAGGGAATTTTAGTGATTTTAAGCGGCTCGTCGTGACCTTGAAAATAAAACCACAAAAGTATAATTAGCCTCAAAATACTTGTAAACCCCTCAAAAATAAGTTTCCAGGCTCAAAATGGAGTGTTATTGTGATGCGGATTGAACAGATTTTTCATCATGTGCCACGAGTGGCTCGCCCGCTCTACGTTAGTGGACATTGTCTCTTAAAGACTTACCTTGTTGTGTAGTACACTGATTAGTCACGCCTTGACGCGGTCCATAAATTTCTCTTATAGCTCTCACAACTTTCTGGCCCGGTCGAGACAGCAAAATAGGATTTTGGCACTCTCCAGGACCTTCCAATATTTCTTTCCAAGCTATAGGTTCATGCCTTTGCCACCTTGATGAACAAGTTGGTGCTTGAAATGACCCCCAAGGGGTCTGATCTGATCCGGCAGAGGACTGTTGTGTTCCATGTATCGTTAAATTGTGAAAATTCATGAATTCTGTTAAGCTTAACTGTTTCTATGCTACCATTAGGTTGATAGGCAAAAGCTTGATTGAGCCTGAGTACGAAAATTTGAAAAAAGAAACCTTCTAAAAACTATATACTTTAGCTTATTTTATTTTGTTTCGTAAAGTGTGAACTAGAAGGTTTTGTTTTAAATAATATTAGTTTCAAGAGCCTTTGCTCTTTCTGAAGTGAGGGGAGAAATGAATTTTGTTTACCTCGGCAAAAGTGCAAATATATGTGGGGTTGCCCACATATTTGCTTTTAAAATTTGTTTACCTCACCAGTCAGTTATGCCATTCCTTAGTGGTGCAGCCCCTCCGAAGAAAAATCCTGGATCCGCCCCTGTAGTTAATGTTTTTTTTGTTACTATTATTACTAGTATTAACTTCGAAAGCCTTTTGCCCTCTCTGAAATAATAGGAGAAAGAAACTGTGTTTAACTCTGTAAAAGTACTGCACAGTCAATGGTCAGTGAAGCAGATTCTGTTTTTGTAATATTTGATAACTGAATCAAAAAAAGTGCTAATGAAAGCAATTTTGTCAACGGGCTCAAATAAGTTAAAGATTTGGTCTAAACTTCAAACAAACTCCAGGTACGTTTCCTTACCGATCGTTACCAATCGGGTCAAACTTCCTTACGTATTCTCATCAAGAACGCTTGTCCACTGGAAAATGATAGAATAAACCCTCCAGGTGTTATCCAGGAACGGCTTCGATTCCTTGGAATTGCTAATTAATCAATTCCACCTCAAAAGTTACGGGGAAAAAAGTCGTTTCACTCTGCGGTGCCGCTTGAAACTCAACGGTGAAAAATATCAACATTTTAGGCTAGTTGCTTTGCCGCGGGTGGGCAAGAGATTTTCCCGCCAAAACACAATCGAGAGCGCGTTGGAAGAGCACTGGGGAAGACTACAATAACCATCCTCAGATGGGAGGGGTGGGGGAATGTTTTAGTTTGATTTGCTCCTTTTTGTCACGGGATTTTCAGGTTTAATATCTTAACAATCTTTTCGTAAGGTATACGTAAGGCTGGTTTTCTCCCGGCCAAAAGCGCGTATTAACGTACCCACACACAATATTATAAATCCCGTGTTTCCATAAATACGAGAAACAAATTCAAACAAACTTATGCGATGAGTGTTTAACCAGCTGACTGTACAGTATCAAAAGGACACACGGGAGTTTCTTCACTAGTCAGTCATATGCACAAAAGTCATATTAACCCTTGTCAGTCGTGTATCAACATATAAAGGAGCAGTTTAATTTTGATGATAAGGCAGCTGTTTGTTTTTCCGGTACGGTTTCAAGTGTGAATAAATTAAAACGGAATCTGAAACCGTGCGGAAAGAATTAAAGGAATATAATAATCGTCAGAACACTGCAACTACTAGATTACATCGAACTCAATTCAAAGATACAAAAGCCGAAGGATAATCATGGGATTATAAGCTAAAATAGTGGGTTGAATTTAATATTTTTTTAGCCACTCCAGACTTTGCGATTGTTGACTGTTTAACCAGTTGTCTCGATTGTTCTAGCTTTGTATTCACTATTATTCAGGTTCCACGCTGTCAAGCGAAGAAAATTAAACTCTCCAGACTTCAAAAGTTCTATTATTTGTTGCTAGGCGAAGTTTTGCCGGAGGCTGTGGGTGTTGTCAATGGTTTCAACAAACTGACATAAAATGTCATTGAAAGCACGCCGCGATGAAATGAACTCAACTTAGCACTGGCGATGAAATGAACCCAACTTAACGCTGGGGCCGAAACATTTGCTGTAAACATCGTTTTTAATTTGGCACTGCGTTATTACTATTTACAACTTTTGACATAAAATGTAGTTTCTTTGCCAATTAAAATAAACTGATGAAGGTTCAGGTTTTTCAGAACTCGTCGAAGGAAATATCAATTTAGAAGGAAATATATTAATTTTACTGAAATCAGAGCCAATATTTTTAATTATCTCCTTTTTCAAGTTTTCTACGTCACGTAATGAAAATCCAATTAACCAATTACAGTGCGTCAATAACAATAGCCATTGTTATTAACCAGGTTCACTTGCGCGCGTGGCAACAGACGCGGCAATGGCAACGACGATAAACAACTTTCCTCTATGCAACTAGAAGCGATGAGTTTTGTGGTTTGATCGTGTCTATTTACTGAAATTACATGCAGTTCAAGTAGAGGGCCTTTCCAACATGGTCAACCCGCTGTGTATTTGCCAAATTTGTACCTGTGGGTAAGTGAAAAAGAAGATTTTTAATGCGATTTTCGATGTTTTCCGTCTGGTCTGTTGCTCTTTGCTTTTAATTCATCGTCGCGGCCTGCTTTCAATGACTTTTGTTTTTTTAACATGAGGAAATTGTTAAGTTACAGATAATTCTTGGGCGAGTCAGAAGTCTAATTTGTATTGTATTTCTCGTTGTTTAGGAGGCATCGTTGTGCCCACAGGCCCGAGGCAAAAACTCCAGTGCATCCTTGTCGATTCACCGAGTATCAAGATCGCTACAAGAGACATGCTCTCGATCGCCGTTTACCGTTTAAACCGGACTACTCTGTCAAGGTCTCTTCGCAGCCAATGGAGGAACGAACAAACTACATGACGGATTATATTCCACATTCGTACGCTCCGCCAGCGAAACGCGATAAAGCGCAGTACGTCAAACCCCCGGGGCTGATGGCGGGGCAAAGCAGCTACAAGCACGACTACCCCGGAACTGTTGTCCCTCCTGCCACATCAGCCAAGCCTTTGGCGACGTTTCATGCCCATAGTACTCCGTTCGACAGCAGTACAGTTCATCAAGATACGTACAGGTCGTGGGACTTAAAGCTGTGTAAAATGGGAAGTATGAAACCGGACGCAACGCCAGCTGCTCGAGACGGGAAAATGGATGGTAAAACGATCTTTCAAACCGACTACCCTGGGTATTTTGTTGGCAGGCGTCCTCAGATCAGGCCCCCGAATTCAGAACTCCGTGTAAATAGAGGTCCTATGGAACAAGACACGACCACCAGGCTTGATTACACCCGGAAGGAAGTACTCCCGGCGGAATCAGCCAAGCCAGTAGAGAAACGCCCCACCACTAGCCAACCTTTCAAGGGAAACACCACATTCATGGATGATTTTGCTTACAGAGGGGGCAGACCCGCCTCTAGTTTTAAGCCAACACAGGATGTAATTAAGTCAAATAAGCCATTTGAAGGGGACACTACCACTGGTGTGACTTACAGGCGATGGGCTATTCCAAAACGTGAGGTGCGCGCTAAGGAACCTTACAGGCCACCAATAGCCAAGTTTTCCACTGATACCACTTTCCAACATGACTACCCAAAATGGGGGGTGCCACCAGCTGAAAGTGCAAAGCCTCCCGTGGCACCTTTTGCTTCTGGCAAACCTTTTGACGACAGCACAACACATAAGGATGCATTCCAAGCGTGGCAGATGCAGGCGACACACAAGAGCGGCCGACCTGATGAGTACAGACCACCGTCTGGAAAATTCCAGGGTGAGTCCACCATGCGGAGTCATTACAGAGGGCAGTATGTACCGCCTGCCAAGCCTGCACGTCATGAGGTCCACCGAGCGATAAGTGGGGATATGGAAATGAATACAACGTACAACGACACCTTCACTGGTGACCGTCCAAGGAGTTGTCCAGCGCAGGGAATTCAACAGTGGCAGCAAGGTCCACAGCGAGGGTACTTCTACAGTCATGATAACCGTGGTCATAGTTACTATTTGCCAGTTTCTGAAACTGTGCAACCTCTTGCTTTATCAGCTTAGATTTTCAACCCAACATTAATGACTATTGTACTTACAGTAAAACCTGCTTCCAAATTTACCTTTACAAGTTGGGTTTAACTTCTCTTTTAAATTCTCAATATATTCAGCACAGTTAAAATCCAGTTCAACATAGTTACAACTCACTAAAGGTCGAAGGTTTTGCTGTTTGTACAAATTTATTAGAAATAGTGGGAAAGTAAGAATCATAATTTTACCAGCACAGTTACTGTAATAATTGTGTAAATATAAAAAAAAGGTAGCTTAGCCAGATAAAAAATATGTAAAATTATTTAAAATTTTTTCCCACCCACCAAGTATTTACAATGTTATTTGGGCACTACGTCTTGAGGAAGTTCAGGTTTTTATGGGGAAAATCTTTTCATAGAATGATTACGTTGCCATGGGAAATGGGGGTAATTTTGCACAACATAGCTGCTGTTTTATATTTTCCATTACATTTGTTCAGGTGTATACACATGGTAATGAGTTTTATTTAAATGAATATTTCTCCTTTTGTGAATTTTAAAATTATGTAGTGTGGACAGCACTTTTAATTCTGTGGATTAAATCCAACAATTTCAAATGAAGTTATTGAGCAGTACTTTCATGTGGACTAGTGCTGTTCATTTTCCAAAGCTGAAATTTGAAAGTAATTTTTGACAGCATTTTGTAGGTGAAGGGTTAATTTACACAGCTAGAGGCCAGGAAGTAAATAAGTATTTACTATCACCTGCTTCTGTGCCAGTGTTTTACCATGAAGTTTGTATTCTTCTTTACAGCATGCACTATCACGCACTTCCTCAGTAAAATACTGAGAACCAGTTTTACTGATCCAATTAAGTTTGTAGTTCCATGTATTGTTAGATGATAAATGTCAGTCTCTTGAACTTACATGCACTGTATTTAACCAAAAAGATGTCCACACATAACGCTCAAAATTATTCTTATAACAGTGTTTTCAAAGTAAACTTCAGATTTGTCCACTGCAAACTGATACAATGAAGTTGGCAGCATCTATGATCCCACTTCATATGTATAGTTTTCGTTGAAAACCGAAAATCAATTACATTAACATCTTTTTACTACTTCCTTTGAGAATACGTTTTATAGCAAGAGAATATCTTTGGAGTCTACTTGCAGTGAGTAGGTAATACACTTTGATTTGGGGTCAAGGATTTTGGGTCTAGCAGCTTTGGTTTATGACCTGGAAAGCTAACAGGTCGTTCAAGGGAAGCCATAAGGGTTCTTTTCAGTTCGATAGGTTTTCTTGCAATAGAAGACAAATGCCAAAACCCTGGCTCCAACAGGGTAGGGTGAAAGTGGGAGTAAAATGTGATTGTGTAACAGAAAACTGTTATTTAAGTAAAGGTCTATTACAGGCCATCATTAAGTCAATGTCGTTATAAAGCCAAAATATTATAAAGTAATAATGTACATAGTTACACTTTCATTTTCATTATCAGTTGATGTACTTACGATGCTTGGTAAATTTGACATCACTGTGGAGCTAGCCAACAATTATAGTGACATCTTCATTCAAGGCAATTCTGGGACAAGGAGGCTTTGCATGCATTTTGCGGCAGTTTGTTATCGTTACAAGTTCCACTTGTTTCATTTGTCTCTGATAAAGGACACTGTTATCAAGATACATTATGTTCTTCTGCATGTAACACAGGAAAGAAACTGAAAATGTTGTTGTAATGCTTTAAAAGGTTGTAGGCATAACTTGTACCTTACATACATGTAACTGTGTTTGCCTCTACAACATTTTTACTTTGATGTACATGTATAAACCAATACTGAATCTTTAGATTTACAAACGAAAGTAAATAATGGGAAGGAAATGTCCTCACCCAATTATTTTGTTCTCAATAAACGTAAAAATAAGATAACCATGACTTTGTCTTTATTTAATGTGCATTTTACACCTCTTTTGTCTTTAGCATGTAACACATCCCCAATAAACAGATTTGGCCAACATGTTTACATCCTTGTTGCCACAATTCAAATCATGTGATGATTCATTTGGGAGGTGACAACTGTTCTGTGTATGCATATTCCTATGCAATCAGTTGCTTGTGCAAATGGCACAATTATAATCTCTCAAATGAATCATCACATGGTCTGAGTTGCGTGGCAACCAGAATGTGAATACAAATTATGGCTGAATCTATCTATTGTCACTGGCTGTTCTGGCAGAAAGAAAAATCCCACTCCCTTCCCCTACCCCCTGCAAGACACCAAAATAAGACTGTTTTAAGTGACAGCTACAAGCTTAGTAGCATTTTACATGAAAAGGGTAATTACTGACAAAGGGAAATAGCAATAGGTCAGAAAATAACAGTCACCCAGGTTTTAAGATTCAAGTCACTCGTTACAAGCTGATGATCTCATGTCAAAAACATACAATTGGACAGGTTAATGTTGGACCATTCAGACACGTTGAACAATAAGATTTCTCATAAGAAACCAATGATGACACACAGAAAGTATATTAGATGCAAAAAGTCTTTGAAGAAAGTTCTTTGTCCAAGTTTATTGTCAGTGTACAAAACATGAAGTTTTCTTAAACATGTTTTCCAAACAAAGATACATGTTAGCCACAATGGGATTTGTTTAAAAGCCAAAATGAATTTATTTCACTCAATTACCTGAATACAATGTTGCCTTTTTTACATGCAAATTGGAAAGAAATCATAAGAATATTATTAAGTCTAAAAATTGCACTAAGTAGCATAATTCAAAGGTATGTTAAAGGTCACTGCAAGACAGAGAGATTTGGGTATCAGATTTACATGTATTACAGGATAACTACCTAATGCTTTACACTCAAATCTTTATGGTTCTACAGCAATACTCATAACTTGCAGTTCCCCTTTTCCTAGTGGCCAAGCTTTTGTTGTGACTTGTGACAATAATAATTACCATAGCCTGCACCTACAGTACAGCCAGGCTATTGTTTACCAATCCATCCAATCCATCCTTGACTGGCTTTAAGGACTGTCCCTGGCATGATAAACCTAGAGAGGTTCAACACCTTGTTTCTCAACAATAATGATTAAATCAGATTCAGTAAAATGCATTCTTTGGTAATAGTACACTTTAAAAATTCACAACTAATCCTTGATTGGTTTTCAAAAGAAACATACACCTCGATCTATTTAAGTTAACACTGCCATGGTTAAGGCTGGAGTGAAGAAGATAAAAGGAGTAACTCAGGAAGTCATATCAGTGACCTATGAAAAGACACTGTTCCAGCTAATAGATCTACAGTAAGAAGAAAAGTTATGATTAAGGTTTTTTCCCTGTTTATGAGTGGATTTTGGATCTGTTTGATGGTGCCGAGGCTGTGGGTGGTGGAGGTGGTCCAGTTCGAAACAATTCGTCGATGTAATTATTAAGTAGTCTATTTCGCTCCTCGGGAACACATTCCAGTATCAAATATCTTTTGTCTTTCTACAAGGTGAAAGAAAAATAATAAAAAATTATCACTGACATTATCATGAAATATTCACGATCTTTTAGGAAAATATTATAACAACTTTTTTGACAGAAGTTACAAACATCACCTTTCTCCAACAGTAACCTTATGTGCATTAGTTTTGATACCATTTTGATCACTGAAACACTCACCTTCAGTGTGTCTTCGATGTCTCTTAGATGTTTATTTGATTCTTCAACGAGTTTCTTTGTTCTAAAGAAGTAAAAGACAAAATGAATCTTCTCAGCTATTGATAAACCAGGGGTTTCATTAATGGTTACAGCAGGAGGGCAACTGGTTTTCACAGGTGGGCAAAATTGTTTGAACTGAACTTCTTCATAAGAAAAACGTTCCTCTAGATGGTCAAACCAGGCAGCCAAAATCATCCTTACTGCAGCCGGTCAATTTGCCCAGTGCCCAGCCCTTATTGAAACCCTTGGATAAACAGCAGGTTATGCAGTTTACCCAGTGATTTGCTTAAAAGGGGAGAGCCAATTAACAGTAGTAAAGTTAACAAGTAACAGGTGATAACATAATTGTACATGTATTTTCTTACTTGTGTGTAAGAGAGTGTGTTTCTTTGAGTAGCTGCCTGAAGTCCCCTTTAGCATCAGCCAGTTTGTCACGAAGATACTGATTAAACTCTTCTTCACGCTTCTACAACAAATTAAGTAGTTTACTATCATTAAATATATAAGGTGACGTTAATATATTCATTTATCATTGTTAACAACCTTACCTCTGCATATGTATGATCTATAGAAGACCTTTCGGTGACCGTCAGTAATCATCAACATTTCTGAAGAGACTCTAGGGTTCTTCGGACTAACTTTAGAAATCTTCTCATAACATTTGCTTAAATTTCAACTCTGTTCTTGTGTTACACTGTTTTGCAATAGCAGCACACAAAATCTTTGTCCCATTGTTAATTACATGTAGCTGATGAGAATTAGTAAGTAATTATTTAACTTATTAACTTACTCTATCCTGACTGGAAAACTTGGAATATCTGGGGTCTTCCTTGATAATTTTTCTAATACTTCTCCAGGATGAGGTAAGAGTCAACTGCAAAATAGAAAATTATTAGGCATTATTACCAACAATATATGTCTGTCATTAAGAGGATGCTATAAACGGTTATTCACTGAAAACAGGTCATTGCGAAGGCTTGTACCTCATGAGTATCATCCAGTAGTTTTCTAAACTGCTCCTTTTTTCTCTGGTTTAAACTTTCAATGTGCTCTTTAAAGAGTATTTCTTTGTCACTTTTACTTAGAGCATCAGCCATTCCCCAGCGATGATCTTTGCGCAAAGTCTTTTTGGTCTCCTTCCATCCAACATCTGCATTGCGAACCTATGGTGCCGGTAAAACAAATATTCATTTCAAAAGACAATTATGTTAGTTCTACATTACATGTTACATGATTATACTCAAGGCTGTTGCCTACAGAATTGTAAAGGAGCCCAAGCCATTTTTTTAGGAGCCCAGGACAAAAAGAATAATTTGCCGTGGTCAATCCTGGGGGTTGGGGAGGTTGAGGAAGGTGGGGGGGGGGGGGGGGGGGGGGCCCGGGGGGTTGGAGTGAGCTGTGGAAATTGAGGGAAGGGTCCCAGAGGCAGCCCCTTTAATTCTCTCTGTTGAGTTTTTCATGAGACATTAATACGGTCTAATATCAATCAATTTTTTGGAATCAAGCATTCAGTGAAGTGATCAAGTCAGGACTGAGGAAGAATACCATTTATGCTGAAACTGAACAAAATTCAATACATGTAATTGGACTGTGTGCATCACTGCATTATTATTGGTGGCTACTTTGGAGAAAATATATTATTCTCATATTGGGCAGAGTCGTGACAATTCGTCTGATACTTTAAAATAAAAAATGCTAGTATGCATGAAGAATTGCAATGATGTTTTCTGTTTACCAGTTAGTTACTTGAATATTCTGACTTTTAAGCTGTAAATAATCCTTTCAGAAACTTAAGAAATTCATTCAGTACATCTAAATGAAGCAAAAAATGCCAAGAATTTAGACAAATCTATCTTTATTCAATTGTAATAATGTCAGCGGCATCACAACTCCAATTCCAAAAATATTTGAATTTTAGGAAAACATGACAGCCCCTTACCATGTCAGCTAGGAGGGCATTAAAATGTTGTTCTGCCTTGTCCCTGAGGTGCTGTTCTTTCTCTTTTTCTCTGGCCTTGGCAAGTTCAGCCTGACTTGCTCTGACTTCTCTCTCTCGCTCTCTGAGACTTGCTTCTATTCTTTCCTGTTTCTCTTTTTCTTTCTCCTTGTCAGCATTCTCTTTCTGAAGGTTGAAGTAAGAAGTTTAATTATCTACATGTATTAACTATTACCATTCTCAGTAGCTGAGAGCATGCTGCCTACTCTCACATCAGTATTTTCAAATGTATTTAGACTACTGGAATAAAATTACAGTATGACCAAACAAGCAGACGCTTTTGGGTAGACATACATCTATGATAGAAAACACACACTATTGTCACAACTAAGATGAGAAAAAAACAACTACGATGAGAAAAATTCAACTAAGATGAGAAAAACACAACTAAGCTCAGAAAAACACAACTACGATGAGAAATGCACAACTAAGATGAGAAAAACACGACTAAGTTCTCCACATTTTATTGATGAGTATGTTCAAAGTACACTATTGTTGCCAGTGGATGAACAACTACTACACTGACTTGGACTACCAGCACTATACAATGTACAAACGACAAGTGTATTTACAACATAAACAAAGCTGACCTGTGAACAGACCTCAAACAGACTGAATTTATTTGGCCAATAATAGACTGATTGAAATTTACTAGAACCAGCCAAGGACTGTTGACAAACTTTACACCATTACATTAAATTTCAGCCAATACCATAACAGCTAAACTGACCGATCAGTTTCTACTGACTGGACTTACAACACCATCCACTGACAAAAACTAAGTGTAGACTTCCGCTTCAGTTGTCGAAACATTGGTTGTAGACAATGGTTTTTTTCAGAACTGCACTCACCCGGACGATCACACTATTCAAACTAGAGTGAAGTACATTGCCATGTTATAAACATGACATCATTCTTAATTCTCATCCAGATCTCATACATGTAGAAAGTCATCATTATTTCACAGTTGTAAAATTAACATCACCTTATAAAGTTGTTCAAGATGTTCTTTAAACCACTCTTCTCTCTGTACTGAGCTTTCAACAGCTTTGCATCGTGGATCCTTCTCTACCTTACCACGAACCTTACGCCACTGTGATTTGCTGTCAAGCTTCTGTTCAGTTAGTAACTCCACAAAGTCGTTGTGAATCTGTAGCAATTAACATAGCAAAAAAGGAAAACAAAATTCAACTTAAGATATTGCCAGTGAATGTTTCAAAGCAGTTTACTGATTATTAATACTTACAGTAGCATCTTAACCCTTTGAGTCCTAACATTGTTAAAACCCTAATCATAACTTATCTAAACAAGATTTAGCAAATTTGGACATTACAAAAATATGGAAACTGAACAAATTTTCACACATGATAAAATACATGTAATTGTGTTTTCTGACCTGAATAAAATGATTCATTTCTACGCTGATGCCAGGGCTTAAGTTTGCAGTGTTCATGAACCCTAATGTCACTACATAATTATCAAGAACTGGTAGATTATTGCAGATATTTTCTTTCATACAAGTCATGTAAATATTCATTGTGAAGTTTCTTAAGGACAAACATTTACCTATTTCTTCAAGTGAATAGTAAACAAATTATTTTAATATGTGCAGTGCATCTTGAGCTAAGAAGCTATGATCATAATTTTTTTTAACGATTTTTTTTTTCATTAATATTTCTTCAGTTTTGTTTTCCTCATCAAAGTCTCAATTAATAATTAAAAAGTTATTAGGGAATTTCAAGACCTTTGGATGAAAATGTTACTGCATATTTTTACAATTAAAGATTATTGAAAACTAGCAAAACCAACAGCTCAAGTAAAACTTCAGAATATTAGCAAACAGTCCCCTTCGCGAGAAAATCAGCATGAGCAATATGTACATTTGTACATGTAGAGTAGATCTCAAGTGTGAGTACTAGTTATGAGGTAATGGCTAGGACGATGATCTGTTAACTTTACTTTGCAGTTTGTTTTCTGGTTTAATCAACTAATTAGATCTAAGCCACAAACACAAAGTCTAAGGCAAAACATACATGTAGACCTCCTAAATCTGAAAGAGAAATCTTCATTGCAATACAAGTAGTGTGACAGTTTGCACAAAGTTTGTACTAGATTTCGAATGATATTTGTTTTGGATTTTGAATCATGTGTACTCTAACAATTCAAGCTGGGAGGGGAGTGGTTGTGTTTTAAAGTGGAACTTAGAGTTGGAGAGTGGAGGGGCAAGGCTTTAGCCAGACAGCTGTCAAGGACAGAAAACTACTTATAACAAGTTTACTTTCTTAAACATTTTCAGGTGGGACATGGCAGGATGTAACTTTCTTTTTCAAATCCTAGGGGGAAGCATGCAGGAACAGAGTAAGAAAATGTACAGCATTTGGAATAAAGTATGTGTTTGTCACAAAAATAAAATTTAATACGTTATCTGAACAAAAGTACTTTCCAGACCCAATATTTTGAAAATAGTTCAGTAAAAAGGATTCTGCTGTGCAGAGACAGTACAGAAAGATTCCAGACTGTTTTTTTTCAATGTAATAATTGTAATTAACAAAAGACTAAATTTTTTTTTTTCAATCATATTTTCAGTTATCACTTTTCTTGACAAACTGCATGGGCACCAAACCATGTGACTGCAGTGTTACTTCCACGACTGCATCCTGTTAAAACAGCGATTACTACTGTAATCTATGCTAAAAAATGCACAACACCTCAATAACATGCTCATGTACCATGAACGATAAACAAGATCTTGGTTATCGTTACGGTACATGAACAAATCTAAGCACTGAAGATATAAATGCTATGAAAACACTCAGTTACCTTGTGGGGCAGGTTAAACACTGAACAGACAGATGAAAAAAGAAGCAACATGATAATTCACTGTAGGCCAAGGCTACCTTGCCAACTGTACGCTGTGTTGTATTGGACGGACGGACACAAGGTTAACATAATACTGACAATCACTATGAAAAATGCCATAGTAGGGGTATGGGGACACTTCTAAATTTCATGGGAAATTAGAATTTTATTGTTTTTACAGGGCAAAATAATGTAGCTCAGATGTACTGCAGTGTATGACTTGAGCAGAATATCATTTTAAGACAGGATAACTGCAAGGAAGTCTATGTACACCATCATACTCATGGGTTCGGGAAGTATTAACAGTTTGTTATTTTGCAGAATTGCCTTTTGCAAGGAACAACTAAACTGTCACAACACAGTTGTAAAAATAAAAGATTGGAATGCAATCAGAATACATAAACATCTTAATGCTAAAAATAATTATTAAAAGTAATATTAAATGTCTCTGCATTTGCAACATTGACAACTAAAAATAATATTTTAAGTATTCAGCAAAAAGATTTGTGGCACGTGTACAGTTTAAACAATGATACATACACTGTAATAACTACTTAAATTTACTTTGTTTCATGTTAAAAATGACCACTTTCTTCCAGTAACACCACTCAGCCACTCTATCACTCACAAAAACAAGTACATGTACATTTTATTCCAGTCCATATTTTGCCACCAGTGTCAATCCACTACTTTAGATTTTCAACAATCGTCACAGCATGAGCTGTCCCCTCCACAGTGCATATTTCACTTGCAACTTTCTCACTCTTGTCACTCTTACCCCACCCCCTCCCCCAGCAAACTACAAGTTCCTCTCACGTGCCTCCCCAATGGAACAAAAGAACCAACCTTATCGTGCTTGAGTTTCAGACTCTCTTTTTCCTTCTTCTTCAGCTCAGCCATGAACTCTGTGAAAAGACTCTCTCTGTCCTTCATTTTTTCTATGCCTTTGAATCGATCATCCTTTCCATACTTCATGGCAAACTCGCTGAAAGTTGACCTTAGAGAGGATTATTTATAAATTACATGTACAGTGTTGTTAATAAGAATTGCTGAACTGCAGAAGTTATTATCACTATCCACACATGTATGTGACTGTACCTTCCACTCTCTGAGCCATTCATCACTCTGAAAATTCCAGAGTAGCATAAAATTTTTCATACTTTCCCTCATAAAATTTGACTTTCAAACCCTCTTCCCCTTAAATTTCTAATTATATTATGCAGTGTGAATTTGCATGTTTTTCATTAAACCGAGCATACTACTACCAGATCAATACAAAAATTACATCTATTTAAATGCTGAAGGAACAGTTATCTTAGCAAGTGTCTGTAAATAATATGTACACACATGCACGATTTTTTTGTACGCAGCAACGAATATGAACATTTTACTTACTTTCCTGCATTTCTTGCTTCTTCCACCAAAGCTTTAAATTCATCTTTCTTGGCCTTTAGTTTGCTTTTTCTTTCTTGTCTCTCCTCATCAGCACGAGTGCGCACAAACTTTTCAAAACACTGCTTCCGTTCCTTTTGTGTTAGCAGTAAAAATCGGGGATCAAATACTATTTTTGGCAACTCCTTTTCCCAAGTTGAAAATGCTGACACCTGGAAAAGTTGATTAAAAGGAATACAAAAGGTTTGAAAATATCATAACTTTAGACTTCCTTGTTTTTAATTACAAAGTTTGCTATTCAGAATAATTATGGTCTCTGAGTTTACAGACAGAGATATAATCATAATAAATTACTTGATGTACATTCTTGTACTGCATACATGTAGATTCATGGGACATCAAATTTATTTTATATAATCTATTTTAGATGCCATCTTTTGATAAATGACAAAATTAATGTTCTTGTTTTCTGCCAGCTCTCTCAGCTCCCTCAATGTGGGGTTTCACCTAGCTATGCCTAAACATGTATTTCAATATATTTTTTCCTTGGGGAGGACACCAAGTGATTTCGGGGGTATGGTAGGGAGATCTGAAAATTGAATAAAGACAACAACTTTGTTAACAAAAAATAATTGCTTTGTCCAGGGTACATTAATTTTGAAGTTTAGGAGTATTTTGTGTAAATTAATAATAACCTTCCTAAACATATTTTGTCAAGGGTAGTTTAGGATAATTTTGTGTATCCAAGTGGTAACCTACCCCTCTTTCCAGCATCATATCTCTGAACTCTTTCATCCTGTCATCAAGTGATAGCATTGTTTTCTTTTCTTTCACTGGGATATTTTTCACTGGTTGCATCACAATCACAGGTTGTTCAACTATCTCTTGTTGTTCAACATGTTCAGGCTGCAACATCTCTTCTTTTGTTTCCGTGTCAATCATCTGCACATCATGTATTTCCTCACTCTGGCTTGCCGTCCTTTATGTTTTACAAACAATCAATACGTACATGCATCAGTTTTAAACTAGAAGAGTCTTCGAAAAACAAACAAAACTGTTGAGGAAGAAATTGGGCTGCGATTGAAGGAGTCGTAATCTTGGATGCATGGTGGCAACTTTTGTTCCTGTGCACATAATTATTCTACACGGCACAGGATGGTTTTGACAGACACCCAGGCACATGTTTTAGGTTTTCTGGATGTTTTGTAGGTAATCTGTTTTAGTCAGATTTCATACAAACAAATCTTCCCCTACACTTCAACAAGTGGTCTTTATCAAAATAGCTAAATAGCTTCAAACATTCTGTAAACCCTGGGAAACTTATAAATGCAAGCTAAGCACACAAACTACATGTACATCAGCTTCATGCCGAACCATGTGCAAATCAATTAACATAACTTTGCTTATGACTCAAAACAACACTCTTTGTAAAGCACATCTACTGTACAGTCATGTAACTTCAAGAATTTAGAAAATTATAATAAAACTTCACATGAGTCAAGAATTAAAATGCTCTGATGACTACACTGTATGTACATCCAATTTTTTTTTTTTTTATCAGTTTTAATTACAAATAAATAAGGTTCATCTATATACAGGTACCTTTGTTTTTTGGTAGGAGGGCCCTCATCATTATCTTCAATAACAGCAGCTGGGGTATTGTTCTCTTTTTCTGTGAATGTAGACACAAAAATCAAACAATTATTATTTCTCCCAAGTAACTATGAAACAAAAGAATCCCCATCACATACTTAATTCCGTTGATGGCTGCCTCTTTGGGGGGCCCTTGTTAACAATCTCATCAACTTTTTCATTGTTCTCAAGCTCATCAGGTTTCTCCCATATGGACAACCTTGTAGTGGGATTGAAAAAGAACATCTTTTCGTCTCCTGTCCACACAACACACCAACTTGTTCCAGGAATAAGTTGACTGGCAACTGGTTTGCTCTTGTCCCCATCTTCCTCTTGATTATCTTCTTTTGCTGCTTCTTCACTTTCCTTCTCTTCCTCTGCTTTGACAAAGAAACATGAATGAAACATAATGCACATACCAGTATATACCTGTCCGTAAACTACTAATTTGCGTAGAGAGTACATGTAGATCAAAAAGGCTATGACCACTAGAATGAAACTACATTTAGACATCTTGATAGTAATGTTTCTTCTGAAATTAGCCATCACCTACTGTACATACATGTACAAAAGAAATTAAAACAACCAAATACTGTAATACTTGCACTACGTACAATTCATGTACCAACACAACCACAACAGCATAATTTTCTTTTAATTATTTTAGAACTTCGATGTCTTCACATATTCATCTGCAAGTCCATGACAATCCTAGCATTAATATACTGAATAATTCTGATAAAGACAATAAAGTTTTAAAAGAAATTCACTAGAAACCACTTGGTAGGGAAATAATAGTTTTGTTAACTTTCATGTACATATATAGAGTCAATCTATATTAATATTAATAGCACTACAGAATACTAGTCTATACCTACCTTTAGCAGCTTCAGCATCTTCACTGCTCTCCAGTCTTTTGTCACTAACATCCTGAGGTTTGTCCTTATCCCTAGCATCTCCCTGAGAGGATGGCTCTGGCAACATGCCTGGACCCCCTGCAGGCATGGGTTGTTGCTGTATTCCTGGTCGAATCAGTCCTGGGAAAATTACAGGGGGAAGCATTCCAGGAGGAGGCATTCCTACAAAGACATAAAACAGTTTTTTTTCAAGGGGTTGTATTATCAAGAAGCTTATATTTAAAAGGCTATATTAATTAAATTAATATTAATATGCTCTGACTGACTGTGAATCACTCAGTGCAAGGCTATGAAAAGACTGTTATGAGTATCATTAGATTTTGTTAGCTGTGATTTCCCATAGCCTAGGACGTAACACCCAAGGAAGAGAATTGGAAAGTACTTATATTATGCAGCTCAGATTGTTCATACATGTACATTTGTATCTGTTACTAACCTATGATTCAGAATTAACCAAACGTTCTTGCATTGGACTATAATATATACAGTGCCCCATTTTTCAGTTACATTTAATGACTGAAATTTTTATTGCCACCTGCAGCCTGGAAATCAATATCATATGTCCTGTTGTTCCTTAATCCAACCCTGGATACATGTTCATGCAAGATTTGGGTTGGGATGCAAGAAGGGAATGACCATCAACAATTCCAGCAGTCATTATCAGGAAAACAGAATGTTGCAGCCTAACGAAACTACATTTACTGAAAAAAGAATTAATGGTGATGCATTTTTTCCACAAAAGTAATATCATGGAAGAGTTCCTATTAACTTTCGCGGACACCCTTCGTTCCGCCGGGAAGCTCAACGATTACATTAAAATGTACAGTCATATACAACTCATCAGCTATAGAATTCGTACAGTAATATCAAAAAGATATCTAATCAAAATGTGCATGTGACGTACCTGGTGGCGGCATCCCTTGCATTGGGGGTGGCAACTGGTCCATCTCCTTAGGCCGCTCCCATGTCGACTGTAGGGTTCTAGAGTTGTAGTAGTAGACTCTTCCATCTGCTGTGCGATGCTCAGACCACTCACTGCTAAGGCCGGGTGGCATACCCAAGGGAGGAGGCATTGGCAGTCCTGGAGGGGGCATACCTGGCGGAGGAAGACGTGGTGGCGGCATCATACCAGGAATCATTCCAGGGGGTGGAAGTCGAGGTGGTGGCATACCAGGGACAAATGCCCCAGGAGGTGGCATACCAGGATTGCTAGATTTATAACAAAAGTTGTCATAAGGTACATAAAGAGCTAAACCAATGTAAGCTACATGTATTGATCTAAAACCATTATGTGGTTATGACTTATCATACAGTTGGTCAAAGCACATTCCTGTCAGGACTAATACAGCCAAAAATTTAAGGGCTTTTAGGACCTCAATTCAACATGCGTTTATTTACTTTAAACCACTTGAGATAATCAACAATAAAAATGGCAACTATGAAGGACTGTCCAGTCCCACATTCCCTTTTCAAGACCTTCAAATAATGTTTTTTTTTTTTAACTCAATGAATTTCAGTAACTTCATTTGTAGACCTCTATACCCTACGCTTTAGTACATTGATTTCTCAATAATAGTGAGTATACTATGCATAAATTTGCAATAATTATATTAGGTGGATACAAACATTATACCTTTGTTGTGGAAGCTTCTCAGGTGTAGCAGTTGTGGTGTTTGTCTGCTGCTGTGTTCCAGTCTGCTGCTGATTCTGATTCTGTTGTTGATCACTTGCTTGTGCTGTATCTTGCTCTGCAGGGGGAGTTTGTTGTTGTCCTTCAGTAGGAACATTCTGTGCCTAAAATGGAAGAAATTAAATGTATTCTGATCAGCCAAAGGAAATTAAGGGAGGATTTTTTGCAACAACTACATTTATCAATTTTGCCCAATTTTAGACTGTCTATACTACACTGTGCCAAAATCCAATATTACTCTAAACACTACTGACTCAAACTTGTAACAACTTTCCCGTAAAAAGTATACCTAAAAAATATCTGTATTAAGAATGCTCAGGACAGTCACAGTGGACAATGTTTTAGCATACATTGTCCACCAAAACTAGTAATAGTTTGATTTTAAAGATACAATATATAGTAAAGTATGAACTGATAAACTAGTAGCCCTCTGTGCTAAACATCTATGATTAATTATAAAATAACTAAGAATATACAAAGTATGAATATTAATTCAGTACAATGTTCAGTGAAATATTGAAAAAAGGTTCAGTGAGATGATTTCTGTTATTACAAAAACAACTACATTATTAATGGCCGACAACTACATATGCACTGCAATTTTGTCTTGTCACTATAAACAAATATTGATTGACATTTCTACCTGAATCGGTTGAGTTGGTTGTTGAACCTGTTGTCCTGGTTGAGCAGAAGTAGGTGGCTGATTCTGTGTTGGGGGGGTCACTAGATTTTTTGGTTTTTCCCACGCTGACTCTCTGGTTCTGGCATTGTAATAATAAGTCTTTCCTTCAGGAGTCTTGTGCTCAAGCCACAAGTCACCATTGGCATCAATCATGGGAGGATCTTTATTCTGCTGCAGCTGCTGCTGTTGTTGCATCTGCAACTGCATCTGCTGCTGGTTCGGCATCATAGGAGGAGGCATTTGATTTGGCATCATTGGTCGTGCCTGATCACATTTACAAGATGTAGAAGTTAATTTTGTAATCATATAGATTAAAAGTGTAAAAGTTTGATAACACTTGCTTTTTTTAAAAGGCTTCTCTCTTTGAAAAACAGTTGAGCTATACAAACACGAGTGGAAGTTTGGAAGAATGATAAATGCTGTGGGAACATGAATACTAAACTTTCCTTTTTTGCGTGTGTTTTTTATCTGTTTGTTTGTTTGTTAAATAAAATACCTGCATATTGGGTAGCATAGGAGCATTTCCCTGAGGTCCTCCAAATGGTGGTCTCATGTTATTCATGGCATTCCTTGGATCAAAAGGTCCTCGCATAAAAGGGCTTGGTGGTTGTCCCAAAAGTGAACCTCTGGGATTTTGTCCAACAGGCCCACGAGGTGGTGGTCCTCTCATGTTTGGTGGGAGAGCCCTTTGGGACATAAGGGGAGGGGGCATGTTGTGCCTCATGGTTTTCTACAAGAGTAATAAAAATGTTGAGGTGTCAAAGTAGCCAAACTCATTGCATTGGAAATAATAATAATAATAATAAAAACACCCTTATGGGGAAAATGAAACTCATCACATGTAAGCTTAGTAACACTCATACATTCAAAATCTTTAGGAGCTATCGCAATATTCAAATGGGATGGTGCTGGCTATACTGTAACGACAAGATTATACGTGAGCTTTCCACCTATGTCACCACTCAAAATATGGCCAACTGATCGAAAACGAAACAAAAGCTAGACCTTTACACGATTTGTTCACTGTTTGTTATGGGTCGTATCACTGAATGATTGTTAACTAATTCCTCGCGAAATGTAGCGTGTTAACTAATAGCAGTTCAAAAGACGTTAAGAGAAACTCTTACCCCTTGTGGGAGAATCAATTACAGACAGATCTCTGGGAAATTCTGCTCTCAGATGTGCTAAGATCAAGCTAACTCAATCAGCAAGACTCGCCGCCATTTTTTACTTCCCATGATTCATTAAGAGTCATATAAAATTCGCTGATTCCCGGATAATCAAACTCGCCCCAGCCCTTTTCGGCTGTTTTGAAAACTCATGCATGAGGTGCATGAAGTCCAAGGCCATGAGCAGAGCAGTTTATCCGGGTGATTTATTTTTTAATTTCCCTTTTAATTTACATTTTCATCCAAGCATTACATACTTATTTTCAATACAATTGAATTGCAGGTTACAGAAAGTTGAAATCAGACACCAACCGACCATTTCTGTTCCACATGACTTGGGATTCACATGACTATTGTCTTGTGGGTAATACATTCATTATGTCAGATTATATATACGGTTCTCTGATCAAAGAAGGCCAGAACAAGGGATAGTTTTGGCTTATTTTGAGGGGGAAAGGCTAGGGATACCTCTCCTCAGTATTAATGAAAAAGTGGAGCAAATACATATAAAATAGAGAACCCAAAAGGTCCAAGGTGTGCAGAGTGTTAATAAGCAAGCCACTATGGTCTTGAGTCACATACAATTCTTCTTAAGCTTCAGAGCCATGTTCAAATTCTTTTACTGTATAGTAAACTTAGTCTGCGAAACAGCCATCTTTCTTCACTCTTGAAATACCACTCAGGAGTGAAGAAGGACAGGTGTCTGTCCAGGCAAAGTGAAACTGGCCTGTAACTAATTATAACTGATTAAAAGCCCATCCACTAACCATCCCATAATATGCCTAGATTGACTACCATGGAAGATTTGCTTGTGTCTAGGAGACTTCCAGATTGTCTGGAAAATGAAAGCTGGGTATGTTTGTCTTCAAGTATGTGTATTTTGCTGACAGGTGCATGTCGTGTTAGGACGGGGAGGGAATTGAACAGACTTGAATGGAAAGCAACTGTGTATTGTTAGACTTAATTGAAACAAGATACTAAACATACATGTATGCTGTCTGGCAGTGTTTTTCAAATCATGATAAATCTCTCTCCACAGACACATGCAATATTGTGTAATTTGTTTATTGTTTAGATAATAAGTGGGACAATTCACACTTGATTATCCACAGTTGTGTTTATGTAGACATGCAACTTATCATTCATATAACTTCAAAGTTAAGTTTCCTCTGTAACTGTACACTTCAAATTAACAAGTTTCATAGATTTTATTTTTATTACAGTGTATGTTGATCAATAATAGTTTGCAAAATCTGGGTTCTGTAGATAGCACAAAATAATCACATCAGGATAAAAAACAGATGTACAGTGTACTGTTTTCTCAACGCTGTACACTCACTTAATAGTATTTGAATTTCTTGAGTAAAATATCATTAAAACATTGGGAATTGAGACATACAATAGTTTAGAGCTGTGAAAAACAAATTGTATTTATTTCATAATTCCATTCCAATTCTTTCTTATTAGGTCCTGTCTTTTATTTTGGACTTTTAATATTTTGTTTCTAAAACATTTCAATCTGCAAGTACACATACGATTGCCATGGAGGATGTTACCAAACAAACTTTTAAGTCCCTGATTAACTATAACATTACCTAAATTTAACGATGTGAAGGCCCCGGAACAGCTGCCCTAGTAGAGACTTCCATGTGAAAGGTGCGAGGCTGCTCATTGTCCCTTTCATTAAGGGAAGTAAATGTTACTTTTTGAGAAAGAATGCCAACTTTTTTATTTTACCCAATAAGGTATCTTTTGGGCTTGCATACAGAGAACTAAAGCACTGCCTTCATACTGCATTGTTGGTTTAAGATCGATCATCGTGAAATCTACAAACATTCTTCCCTGATGAAAGCATTAATATTCAAAGACAAATGAATTTGTTTATCTTCAATTAATAAGATGATGTAACTCCTCTTTCTCTGCTTTAGAATATTCTTTATGGGATAATAACAGAGCTGGAGCCATGCCAAGATCACCTTTTAAAGGAACATATTACATCATTTCTTTTTTTGCTGAAATTTTAAGACTAGCACCATGGCTACCTTTAACATGGAATGCCAACTTCCAGGTGTGAGGTTAGTATTAATAAAACCTACAGTCACCAAACCAACACTCTGGAGGGAATTTGTAAATCTGATTCTAAACAATGAAAGCTTTTAATACCTTACATAAAAAAATAACTTGAAAGTACATTCATCAGCAAACAGCAAAAATTAATGCCTATAAAAGCCACCTTTCTATGATGAAGATTACTTGGTCTTTATCAGCTGACCACATGCATGCACATCCTCATCACTCTTGTTAATTTTCTCTCGCCAGTGACTGCCTCTGATCAGCTCTCCTCTTCAAATAAATTTGGTCATTAGACCTCACTATCATTTTGCCAGTGGTAAAAGACATAAGTGGCAGTGAAAATTATGATTGTCACCAACAAAAATGGGAGACTCTGTTATCCAGTCATAAATAAATAAATAAATAAATATACATTTATATAGCGCCATTTTCCACTAATTGTCCATGGCGCTTTACAATACTTTAAAATTAAAATCCTAATTCTTTAAAAACCTAAAATCCTAAATCCTAAAAGTTAAAATCCTAAGAATAAAATACGCTATATAATACAATTAGGCTAGAAATAAAAAGTAAAAACTACAAATCAAATGCACGCTTAAAAAGATAAATCTTAACAGTCATGGCTGTATCACTCTTGTAATTGTTTAAATTTAGACTCTAATTACTGCACCCACACTTTTCTTTTTCACTTCCCTCTCCTGTACGACGCTGATCCATGCTATCTCCCAATACAAATGCCCTTTGTTCTGCATGGTTATCTTTAACGTGTTTATTAACCAGCTCTGCCAGCATTGTAAATGCCTCTGTGACATTCACAGAATTTTTCGCACTAGTCTCTATGAAAGGCATATCATTAAGTGCCGCCCACTCGGCTCCACTCTCCGCAGAAACTTGACGGTGTGAATCAAGATCTGTCTTGTTGCCAACCAGAATCATCAATACGCCCTCATTGGCATACATCTCTACCTCATTTAGCCATTTGTTGAGGTTTGAAAACGTTTCTTTTCTTGCTATATCATACACTATCATCACTCCATGAGCTCCCCTATAGTATGACGATGTTATTGTTTTAAATCTTTCCTGACCAGCTGCAAATAAAAGAAAACAAGTACATTAGTCTCTACAGTGGTTAATAGTAATTCTCCTTACAATTAATTTTCTGATATGTTATGGCACCAGAATGGAACGGCATATGAAAACACAAAATTGTTCAGTGCCATTTGGAGGATATTTAAGATTCTCAAGACCTAGGGCTAGATTTGACCTGAGGTGCATCCCTATGTACATTCCTTTGTGGGGACTCCTATATAAAAAGGTTGCGGATGCTCGTCATCTCATTTAGGGGTATAAATCAAGGGTTCTGATCTCAAGTAGGGTGTTCAGAATGGAACACCACTATTTTTGACTATCATAGTATCATTTAGGGTGCACTCCAAGAAATACTACTAATATAAAATAATGCCTTCTGTTTTCCACTGGTCTCTTGAGACTGGTCTACTACCACAAGCCCCTTTCCTTAACAGCGTATGCTAATCAAGCCTATTCAGTTTTAGTGGTATCTTTTAGTGGTCAAATAAAGCTCCAGTTATGCCCAGTTGGAATCCTTTAGGGTTTAATTCAAATTTCCTAACAAGCGTCCCGGACCTTTTCCTACAGGAGTCCCCTCTCCTCAGGGGAAATATTCTTTTCACCTATTTAGGTCTTTATATTGTATCAATTAGAATACAATGGCCCAGTAGCTATTCATGTGACTATTTGGGACATAACGCTTAGCTTAATTAGTGTGGCTTTGATCCTTATGTTTGAAAAAGCCACTAATCTTTGCTCTTTAACTGTAGCTAACTGTAATGGTGCCTTCCTTATGGCGATGGCAACCAGCAATTACTTTTTAGGCAAAACATGTGATGGACTAGGACTAAAGAAAACAACAGTTTCTCTTCTTCCTCATCTGCCATCTGTGCAAAACCTCTCATCTTTCTTGTTATAATTTATTATTTTTGTTAATGACATCACACCTTCAGCATACCTACATTCTCCCCTGCCTTTGTCAGACAAAAGAAAACTTAACAGGTGCATAATATAGGCCACAAATTTATCTGAATCTTTTATTCATCACCGCACAGAATTAAAATTCTAGATTCTGATACAAAATTCAGCTCATTTTCGGATTTTTGAAATGTGAAAAATAGAAAAGCATTAAACATTTTTAACTCCCTCGATCTTGCTAAATATTGTACAAGTAAAGCAAATAAAACAATACTCACAGACGTTCAAGCGATTATGCGGTACATTTGTTTGTTTGTAATTGAAGACATCGAGGTGAAACCGACAAATGGAATACATAATCAATTTATTAAATCTCAACACTTCAGCAAAGCTAAATTAATCTGTGCGAACGCCTCGCCATAGACATTTTCGCTAGCTGATTGGAATGATAGCAAAGAGCTAGATTCGTAACGGATAAACAAGACCGAAAATCTCGCTGTTGCTTTATGTCTGTTAAATATACCTCGCTTGAATTATAGAAATGTTGACGACTCCATAACGGCGTGTTTACCTTTCAGGAAATCCATTGTTTGCCCAGGAAGTCAAACACTCGCGTACAATACTGTTTCCTGTGCTTATCAACAATCACAATCGCTAGATTTATACTGTGTATGCTTAATACGTAAAATTAAATATTTCTGAACGGCCGATTAGCATGTCTTCGAAGGCTACACGACCTTTTGATCGTTTTGTTTTCCCTGTTCTGCGAATGAAAAAAAATGAATCATATATTCTCGTTTCAGTGCTTTTAAAAAGTAATAATTCCACATCCCTGGGGTGCCATAGAGCCTCAATTAAAAATGCAAACATTTTTGTCCGAAGGATTTTGCGAAATTGACGGCTAATAATAATATTCAATTTAGCACACTGACATTTTTCCCGCGACGATCACCGGGTCGAGATGAAGGGCCCGCCGTTCTGGAAGAGTGATTTTATCATCGGCCCAAAGCGATCTCGTTGAAATTTAAGCAAAACTTGAACAACTCGGAAACCATTAATTTTTCAAGAGAACAAACACAGCGAGGAAACAAAAGCACGTTATTTAGAAGAGACCCTGAGGGCAACTGCTTCAAACAGTTGCTCTAGAATGGTATTTTCACGAACAGTTTTTTTAGGAAAAAGTCGTTACGCGCTTACATGACCATGCACATGTACTCACCGGTATCCCAGACTTGAAGACGAATCCTTTTCCCATCGAGTTTGATCGTTTTTATTTTGAAATCTACGCCAATCGTATTGAGGTAAGCTTCTCTGTGGGCGAAATCGACGTAACGAAGAAGAAGGCACGACTTTCCCACGCCAGAATCTCCGATCATAAGCACTTTGAACAGATAATCGTATTGAAGATGTAAGTCGACATTCAAATCTGAATCCATCGTCGCAATATTTAAGAATCAAACGCTCTAGAATGATAGGTTAAATTCGACATCCATCGTCAACTAACGCACTTTATCAGTCGAACACTACACGCGATTAAGTTTTGCGAATCGAATCAATCAGCTGGAGGATCAAAAGTCATTATATTGCTGAGAGACTGGGTCGGGAGGGTGCCACAGTGTACTGGACCACCGAATGATGGATTGTGGATCACCAATCTTCATTTAGTGTCAAATTTACCTCTTGGAGTAGGATGCTGCCTTCTCGTTCATTTCTAGTTGGCGAGTTTCTGTTTCTTTATTTTCGTATTCTGAGCGAAACAAACTGGCTACAGTAATGTTATATAGAAATAATTAAAATGCTCAAAAATATCGAGGATCCGTTACCAGGATTGATCATAATACAATTGAACAAGCGTTCTCTGGTAAAAATTATTAAAAATATGAGCTTTCGACAGCCAGTCTACTGTCTTCGCCGGATAAAAATTTGTGAAAATTTGTCACAACTTTTAATCCGTCGAAGACAGTAGACTGGCTGTTGAAAGCTCATATTTTTAATAATTTTTATCAGAGAACGCCTTATTCAATTCTATAAGTTAGAATTCCAATTATCTTTGCAACTTGGAAGATAGATTATAAAAATACAGCGGAAATTGGATAATAAGGTGTTGTAACACGATCGTATTCCTGGGTAGTACAAGAGACGGAAATTTCTCAATGGGAAGTACCGGATTTTTCTCTCGAAGTTGACTTTTCACATGATTAAAACATTAACACATGGGGTAAGTTTCTGCAGTCACCGAATGCTAATGGGGCATAATTTTGACCCAGTATGGTCTAAGCTCTCGTTAGTGATAACCTCCCGTTAGCGACCTCCTAGGCTTGACATTTTGGGTGGTCGCCTACGGGAGGTTCGATTTTAATTTTAATTCTTTCGAATCGCGCGCTTCACTCACGAGGATCACCGCGACGCGTTTAGCGCTGGCGCCTAACGTAAAGCGGCTAAAGGAAATATTTATTGTCCTTAAGTTTAAGTTTAAAGGAGTTACGTCAGGTTTGTACATCTTGAAAAGTTTAGCCTAAATTTTTCAAGCTCGTCGTTTGTAATCCGTATTAATCTTCTCCATCTTTAGCCTTGCTTGTTTCGTTATGGTTTATTATTATCCCTTTAGTGCTTTTCCATCTTAGTAAACTATCATTTTCAGCTTTCCTTCAATTCAAAGGTAATTTTGCAAGTGGCCAAAGTAAAACGCAAAATACCCTGAATACTGTGGGTGAGCTCCTTTAAATCATAAAACTCCTCACTTAAAGCAAGCAATGGCTTATGAAAAATAACGACTTTTATTTGATTTTCTATAACTGTTATACTTTGCTGATTTTAGCCAAAACATAAAAAATATATATATCAAACAATCTTCTGATGAACGTTCCTGAGCTCCCTATTGAGCTACTTTTACTCTGAACAAAACGAGCATCTTTGTAACCTCGTCCAATCACCGCAATGTCGCTGAACAGTGCTGGACATTTACCAGCGTTCCAATAAATAAGTTTATTGCTCTACTCTTCAGCTTAAAAAATATAGGGCTGATTTTAAGAATTTTTAATTACGATGAGTTCATTTTTTTTTTATTTTTTTTATTTTAGGGCATTACTGAATACGCTTAAGAATACTGGACCATGAAGGTTAGGGGTATCAGCATAGTTTCCAGTCCAAAATGAAAGTGTCAGAGATATTTGCCTAAGAAAGATCCTGGAAATAACCTACAATTACAGCACGACCTAACTGGTTGGCTCACAACTTCCCAAATCTGTTTTCCATCAGATCCACACTTTCCAGTATTCCGCAAAACGTCAACTGTGAAACTGTCCTGAACGCAGATGCCCTCGTAACTAAGGCAACCGACGTCCTTAGCATCACAGATGACCTCGTTCAGGTAGCGCGGGAAATAATCAGCTGATAGCGTGGTGACCGCTGACCACTCAGTGCACAGGTGGTGGTAGCCATTTTGGTCGAGCGATCCACGTCGAGCGACCCTTGTAAGATTCGTTAGGGAGTATAAAGGTGCGTGTCGTTTGCCACGGGGCTTTTTGGTGCTACGTGTAGGTGCCTTGGTGGGAGTCGGTTGACTGATTAATTTGGAGAATTTAGCAGCTCCAGATTTTGTAATCGCTTGATATCTTCTATTGTAGCCTCCGAAGGTTTCCAGTTTCTGTTCCAGCTCTCTGGTTGTCAGGGGTTGGCAAGTAGAAGTTAAACTCCTTTGAATGGTGACGTCACTTTGGTTGGAGCCTAGGGGCTGTGCTTCAGAACAGCTTAGAAAGGTCGCGAGCATTATTACCATTGAAATAGCTTTCTTAATCATTTTGGTCTGTGAGTGAAATAGAAATAAACGATACGTTGGTAAAAGAAAAATGTCTTAGTATGATCTATTTGGGATAGGTTTAATTATGGCAGCCAAAGGGCTGTGTAGACTTACTACAAAATAATACACCTATATAATTACAATTATAACAGATTAACGATCTCTTACGCAAATAAAACGGGAAAATGAAACTTAGAAATTAAAGACAACCAGTACCAGGAACTGATCGTGATTGATTGGCTAGAAAAAGGGAATCAGTAGAATTTTAAAAAATGTCATTCTTTTCACTTCATGCATGTACGCCAAAACGATAATTATAACTCAGTCACTTTCATCCTATTCTGAACAATCTGACATTTTATAAAACCATTCCATACTAGAAGATGTAGCTCTGCAGAAATCGATGTGTGTCTCTGATTGGTTTTTGCCTCAGCGCGGGAAATGTTTTTTTTTTCAATCTAAGAATCCAATTTTGGATGTTGCCAAAGAAACGCACATTAAGTGCTCAAAAGTCAAATATGAAAGTTGTCCGTTTTCGATTTTACGATAAAAGAACTTCAAATATGACATATGTAATTTCTTCGGAACGTGTTCAATCGTGGGCTATCCAAAGGGAATCGAAAGTAGCTGTCATTACATTTAAGATTTTTGCTTCTGACTTAAAAATGTGTTATAATCAGTTCATTAGAATGTCTTTTCCCAGTTTCCAAGTTATTTCCGCCGGTTCCTTTCTATTAACTGCTTGGAGTTTTGTTTTGAGTCAGAGGCAATATATTTATTGTTATTTAAATTTTTGACTCCTGCCGCTATCTTATTCAGACCTGCAAATGATCCCCTGACCGCAAATGATCCCGGACCGGAAATGATAGCCTCGCCATAAAAGGAGGAAATGTGAGGTCTCAGGAATTTGGACAGTGGATTTAAAATTTATACGATGGATTTTTTTTATTACTGAGAAACTCAGAAAATCGTATAAACATTCCGATTTGATTCTGAAAGGTTAATTGTGTACTGAACTAATCAAAAAGTTCAGGACACGCGAGAAAACCTCAAAACCACAAACAATTACCGCTGCTGTTTTGCTTTTAATTGGCGTTTTCCTTGCTACATAATAATACTCCTCAAATATTTCTGGTATTCACGGTTTTCTGAATTTCACAATAATTATAATACAATATTGTGATACAATCTTTATTTTTTATAAGAATATTGTTTTTTCTGGCCAAAGCTGAAAATTCTTAATTTTCTGCCGACTTGAGGCTGAAAGTATTCTTGTGAATATTGACATTTCTGTTTTCGAATGTATTTGGTGTCTGAATGGTGTTGAAGTCATTTTAGAGTCAGACTGACTTCTTGCAAAATGTTAATACGGCATAAAACATACGACTAGTACTGTATGGTTTTGTTGCTTTTGGTCAGTTTTGCTGTTTAGAGAAAGGAAACATTTTATACGGTTTAGTTAAAAACGTATAATTGTATTGTTATTACAAATTCTAAACACACAAAATTATATTCCAATATCTGAACCTCGTGTTTATTCTTAAAATAGTCTTAAAAATTCGCAAATTTCAGCCTCTATATTCTTATAAAACATATTCTTATAAAAACAACGAAGAGAACAGTTAGTAGATGTAACGCAAGCAAAATGCTAAGTATGACGATTTGAAAGCAAATTTTACGACTTTAAAAGTGTTATCCAACGTCACGAAATTTGTGAAAGTTGTAGTTTAGCTTGGTCCTTCCCTGTATGACTTTATTGGGTCTGGGCATGAGATGTATCATAACACAGGATGTTCACTATATCCTCACCTGAGAAAGTGGATTTTAGCGTTGCTTTCGGCACAGAGGAGATTATAGACGGCAAAAAACAAAAAAAAAAGAAAAAGAAAAAGAAATTGCGCGAGCAAAAGCGACAGCTCTATTCGTAATTCATGCAAATAAATCTGTCTAAAGATCACTGTGGTAATTCGCACGAAGGAATCTTGCGCACTTTCATGGGAGCTCGTGGCTATCTAGGACGCAAGTATAAGAAGTGTACAGGGAAAAGTTCTAAGCGGTTATTTAGATGGCAGAGGCATCTTCGAAGATTCATGTTTATTTTTGCGGTGCGTTTCCTAAACGAAGACTTTCAGCCGGCACATGTCAATTTGGTATTTTGTGCAGTATGTCTAAAGCTTTTTATTGCTACTTTTATGCCTGAGGTGCTTGTCTTTTTTCTAGTATAATTAAGAAAATATGTATCCATCCATAGACTTTTCATGGAGTCCACGCCATTCCTAACTTTTTGCGGTGGAACTGGGATCATTTGCGGGCTTGTACATACTTCTGAAATCGCTATTTTCCTTTGAAACGATGGTAACGCTGACGTCACGATGACCCTCTGTATCGTTGGCTCGGGTACTCTACGCATGTCACTGCAAGACGTGGCGTGTTTTCGTATCCTCTTTAGTGTGCACGGCAAAGATTCCGGGTAACGAATTAAGGATCAGCGTATATATAGGGCCTCAGGACACTTAGAAACACACCGGTTGCTCCCTATAAATGTTCCATTTCAGTATTTTCTAATACAGATATTGATACGTTTTTGTTGCCACTATACTTGTATGACAGGTTAGTAAAAAAACACTCAAATTTTCAATGAACGGTTTAAAAGAACTATTCAAAAATTAAGTTTGATTTCTTCTCAGTTTATCTGATTACTGAAATTTTTACGGAAAGTCAAGTTTTTCATTTCGGAGGAACGATTGTTTGACGCAAAATCTTTATTTTCCCATTTTACGCCAACAAGCCAAGCTAAGTAGTATCTCAAACATCAATTTTAGATTTTCGTCGTCAAAAGTTTTCATTTTGTAACCTGGTCGGATATATTCCCGAGTTCAATGACGAAAAATGTTTTTTCACCTCCAAACGATAAACGATATTGCTACAAATTACCATCTTTACTTTCCATAAGGAGTTGTTTGTTTTCAAATTAAAATATACACAACATTTCAGTTAGGCAGACAAGAAATCATCATCCGATACTTTACCTCAATATTGAATGTTCCTCTCCGGCAATTCAGGTGCAGTCGATACCTCTCAGGATTAAGATCTGAAAAAATGTTTGGCTAAATC